CATCCTATTATTTAAGGATGTTCCAGGTTTTGGTAGTGGAGGAAAGCTGGGGTAACCGGAGAAAATCAATCGACCTGATGACTACCCCACATAGGCCTGGAGTCCATGACCCAGTGGTGGAGGGCGAGTGACTGTACGCTGTCGGATACCTCCCCAGTGGTGGAGGGCGAGTGACTGTACGCTGTCGGATACCTCCCCAGTGGTGGAGGGCAAGTGACTGTACGCTGTCGGATACCTTCCCAGTGGTGGAGGGCGAGTGACTGTACACTGTCAGATGCCTTCCCAGTGGTGGAGGTGAGTGACTGTACACTGTCAGATGCCTTCCCAGTGGTGGAGGGCGAGTGACTGTACACTGTCAGATGCCTTCCCAGTGGTGGAGGGCGAGTGACTGTAGACTGTCGGATGCCTTCCCAGTGGTAGAGGGCGAGGGACTGTACACTGTCAGATGCCTTCCCAGTGGTGGAGGGCGAGTGACTGTACACTGTCGGATACCTTCCCAGTGGTGGAGGGCGAGTGACTGTACACTGTCAGATGCCTTCCCAGTGGTGGAGGGCGAGTGACTGTACACTGTCGGATGCCTTCCCAGTGGTGGAGGGCGAGTGACTGTACACTGTCGGATGCCTTCCCAGTGGTGGAGGGCGAGTGACTGTACACTGTCAGATGCCTTCCCAGTGGTGGAGGGCGAGTGACTGTACACTGTCAGATGCCTTCCCAGTGGTGGAGGGCGAGTGACTGTACACTGTCAGATGCCTTCCCAGTGGTGGAGGGCGAGTGACTGTACACTGTCAGATGCCTTCCCAGTGGTGGAGGGCGAGTGACTGTACACTGTCAGATGCCTTCCCAGTGGTGGAGGGCGAGTGACTGTACACTGTCAGATGCCTTCCCAGTGGTGGAGGGCGAGTGACTGTACACTGTCAGATGCCTTCCCAGTGGTGGAGGGCGAGTGACTGTACACTGTCAGATGCCTTCCCAGTGGTGGAGGGCGAGTGACTGTACACTGTCAGATGCCTTCCCAGTGGTGGAGGGCGAGTGACTGTACACTGTCAGATGCCTTCCCAGTGGTGGAGGGCGAGTGACTGTACACTGTCAGATGCCTTCCCAGTGGTGGAGGGCGAGTGACTGTACACTGTCAGATGCCTTCCCAGTGGTGGAGGGCGAGTGACTGTACACTGTCAGATGCCTTCCCAGTGGTGGAGGGCGAGTGACTGTACACTGTCAGATGCCTTCCCAGTGGTGGAGGGCGAGTGACTGTACACTGTCAGATGCCTTCCCAGTGGTGGAGGGCGAGTGACTGTACACTGTCAGATGCCTTCCCAGTGGTGGAGGGCGAGTGACTGTACACTGTCAGATGCCTTCCCAGTGGTGGAGGGCGAGTGACTGTACACTGTCAGATGCCTTCCCAGTGGTGGAGGGCGAGTGACTGTACACTGTCAGATGCCTTCCCAGTGGTGGAGGGCGAGTGACTGTACACTGTCAGATGCCTTCCCAGTGGTGGAGGGCGAGTGACTGTACACTGTCAGATGCCTTCCCAGTGGTGGAGGGCGAGTGACTGTACACTGTCAGATGCCTTCCCAGTGGTGGAGGGCGAGTGACTGTACACTGTCAGATGCCTTCCCAGTGGTGGAGGGCGAGTGACTGTACACTGTCAGATGCCTTCCCAGTGGTGGAGGGCGAGTGACTGTACACTGTCAGATGCCTTCCCAGTGGTGGAGGGCGAGTGACTGTACACTGTCAGATGCCTTCCCAGTGGTGGAGGGCGAGTGACTGTACACTGTCAGATGCCTTCCCAGTGGTGGAGGGCGAGTGACTGTACACTGTCAGATGCCTTCCCAGTGGTGGAGGGCGAGTGACTGTACACTGTCAGATGCCTTCCCAGTGGTGGAGGGCGAGTGACTGTACACTGTCAGATGCCTTCCCAGTGGTGGAGGGCGAGTGACTGTACACTGTCAGATGCCTTCCCAGTGGTGGAGGGCGAGTGACTGTACACTGTCAGATGCCTTCCCAGTGGTGGAGGGCGAGTGACTGTACACTGTCAGATGCCTTCCCAGTGGTGGAGGGCGAGTGACTGTACACTGTCAGATGCCTTCCCAGTGGTGGAGGGCGAGTGACTGTACACTGTCAGATGCCTTCCCAGTGGTGGAGGGCGAGTGACTGTACACTGTCAGATGCCTTCCCAGTGGTGGAGGGCGAGTGACTGTACACTGTCAGATGCCTTCCCAGTGGTGGAGGGCGAGTGACTGTACACTGTCAGATGCCTTCCCAGTGGTGGAGGGCGAGTGACTGTACACTGTCAGATGCCTTCCCAGTGGTGGAGGGCGAGTGACTGTACACTGTCAGATGCCTTCCCAGTGGTGGAGGGCGAGTGACTGTACACTGTCAGATGCCTTCCCAGTGGTGGAGGGCGAGTGACTGTACACTGTCAGATGCCTTCCCAGTGGTGGAGGGCGAGTGACTGTACACTGTCAGATGCCTTCCCAGTGGTGGAGGGCGAGTGACTGTACACTGTCAGATGCCTTCCCAGTGGTGGAGGGCGAGTGACTGTACACTGTCAGATGCCTTCCCAGTGGTGGAGGGCGAGTGACTGTACACTGTCAGATGCCTTCCCAGTGGTGGAGGGCGAGTGACTGTACACTGTCAGATGCCTTCCCAGTGGTGGAGGGCGAGTGACTGTACACTGTCAGATGCCTTCCCAGTGGTGGAGGGCGAGTGACTGTACACTGTCAGATGCCTTCCCAGTGGTGGAGGGCGAGTGACTGTACACTGTCAGATGCCTTCCCAGTGGTGGAGGGCGAGTGACTGTACACTGTCAGATGCCTTCCCAGTGGTGGAGGGCGAGTGACTGTACACTGTCAGATGCCTTCCCAGTGGTGGAGGGCGAGTGACTGTACACTGTCAGATGCCTTCCCAGTGGTGGAGGGCGAGTGACTGTACACTGTCAGATGCCTTCCCAGTGGTGGAGGGCGAGTGACTGTACACTGTCAGATGCCTTCCCAGTGGTGGAGGGCGAGTGACTGTACACTGTCAGATGCCTTCCCAGTGGTGGAGGGCGAGTGACTGTACACTGTCAGATGCCTTCCCAGTGGTGGAGGGCGAGTGACTGTACACTGTCAGATGCCTTAACCATGCGGTGATTGCGTCTTTCTTGGATACACCATTTCAACAGTATTCTTCAAGCTCTTGTTTACACACGTACAAAAGAGATCCTTCGCTTCGAATATATTTAACTGACATATTTCCTCGAAATTCAAACAGATACTGTATGCTCAATAGTACATGTTAACTGCACCCCTGGAACGTGTCATGAGGAAATCGAAGGCTCTGTATGCACCACCTTGTGGATGATACAAATACATCAATTTGATTCTTTGACGTTCATCAAAAGAATCGCACGGCAGAATGATGGTAAAAAGAGTTTGAAGTTTTGTGTCACTTCTCTGTAATATACAAAGGACAGATAAAGACTAGCGATTGATTAGCCATTTTTTTTTTAACCTGAAACCAACCAAATTAGATATCTCATGACAATATTCCAGAGGTGCAGAGAACGCAAATAAGCGTAATCCTTGGAACTTCAAGGATGACTCATATGTTTTTTTGGTTTTTTTGGTAAACACAACGAAACACATATATTTGCACAATTTCATCATCAAAAGTCAATATAGAATAAAGTATGAACATCATTTAATATGTTTAACATATATAAATTTAGACATTCTGGAAAATTACAAACAAAAATTATATTGAAGTGATCATCATTATGCCATTTAATCACAATTCGAAATGGATACTCTAAATAGTCATCAGCTATCATCAGCCCAGATCCACAACATTGCAGGCCAAAGGCTGGAGCCAGGGGAAGAGGATGAGATTGTGGTGGTTATGGTCTATCCTACAAAAGTTTGGAATTTAGATGGTGGGAAATAGCACTGAAGCTCTCCAAAATGATAAAATCTGTGAAATATCTCATATAAATATAATTAAATTCTTACCTTTAAGAGTTTTCTAGCTATGAGCTTGAAACAAAATTCTTTTTTTGTGGTTTTCATCAACTCTGCATCATAAGTGTAGCAAGCAAGGAATATGATAGGGGGATACTGCCTTAATGACAAGCTAGTTTTTTTCATTGCGATGCAGTATAACCCTGGGACATGCTCACTCGTTTAATATAAGCCCACACATAACATTAAGTCAACTTTCACAAGATTTCCATATGGAGAAATTTGGCACAAGGTTATATCTATAAGCTTAGCTTATTCACAGTTTCATGGTAACATAGCTGGCCCCTAAAGGTAGTGTTACTGGGCCTGCAAGCTAAGGATAAATGTTTCTTTTAGTAACATTTGGTTTTACAGCTGCGAATACCATGGTGAAAGACTAACATAAATTAACAGTCTTTGTTGTAACATTAATACAATAAAACCTCAATAAAATGCCCCTCATTCCATCCGCCACCTCAATAATACAGCCAAAACATTCCAAGGTCCCTTAATTTTTCTGTACATACAAACAAAGTGCTATATAGCCAAATACCATGCCAATAAATCAATTCTAGATTTTTGGAGTGACCTCCCTTTAAAGGACATGGTTGTGTTAATTAATATTCCTACAAAGGGCAATTGATCACTCCAAGGTAGAGAGATCAGGTGCTATTTTTCACCAACAAGAATTTAATGTGTTAACTATCGTTAGTCTACCTAGCTGCAGAAATGAGAACCAGTACACCAGGTAGTAGATAATACAGATGCCTGAAGTTCTTCATGGCAAAGTCAAGACTGTTAAAGTAGGAGGTACCAATGCATCACTATGGGGTTATATGTTCAGGAAGAGTTGTCTGCACAGAAAGACATACTCTTTAAACTATATCTGCATTTTTACCCTGATTTTGTTGTCCGGGGAGTTGGTCATCTGTCAGCTGTGCATTATTCTGAAAACTAAAACACTTCAGCAGACTAACTCCCTGAACAATTTCTGTATTTTTTCACGGCAACGACACAGTGAATCAGGTGATGAGTGGACAGAGCTTGTATTGACTTAGTGAATCAGGTGATGAGTGGGCGAAGCTTGTATTAACCTGACCTCTCCTTGTTGTCAATCATGAGACTCAGGCACATACATCACTAAAATTCTTTTGGAATTTGAATTCTGGAATACCCCTTTTTAGATTTAGAAACTATTTGTGTTAAATTTTGTTCTGGTATGATAAAACAGTTGAAATATGGGTATGACTATGAGGGATAAAGCAAATTTCTGGTTCCCCTTGCTCAGGCCTATTTTCCTTGGCTTTACCACAGAAACCAGACCTGGACTTTGGTAATCAAAGTGGGAATGGTAACCAGAACTTGCTATATCCCTCATGCCTATACTTTAATCTATGAATAATCCTTTCACTTGCGTTTTGCATCATTTTCCAAGGTGTCCAGCTTGACTGTAACAGTTTTTTTGGAGGTCTCATCCCGTCCCTCAAAGACCAACTCGGTCTTACCGAAGTGTAGACTGACTATCACCTTCCTGTCCAAGCCACCGGTTGTGTCTGGCATCGCGACATTCATTTTACCCAAGTAAGTACAGCCAGTAGTATATTTGGGATTTTTCTTTTCAGAAAGATACATACCAATAGTCATTCCGGTCATGTCAGCGGTAAGTGGGTATACTTCAGTTTCTACAGATCTGCCTACATGTACGAGCTCATCTTTCTCGATCAGCTTGTTGAAGACTTCCCTACAGTATTCTGGATGCTTTTTGTCTCGCATTTTGGGGTCATCAAAGTCTTTCAAGAAGTATCTGCGTACCTCTGTGCCGTATGTGTACCGACTGATACGTGCAGATACAATGGCTGGGTTATGTCCATACAGGACTGCGCCCTTCAGAACCGCGAGTCCAGCGTCCTGGGGAATGGTCACCTTCTTCCCAGCAAGTATGGTCTTCACCGATTCCTGTATTATTTTGCTCTCCGAGAATCCCCCAACCAATATCACATTGTGGACTCCCAAGGTTTCTTTCTTCCTAAATAACTTCTCGAAATGTTCTTTAATATTTTTCACAGATGGCTCAAAAAAATCCTGAATTTTTGACAATGGTATTTTGACCTTGCCATTTTTTACATTCAGTTTACCTTTTCTTATGGTGTTTTGTAATTTCTTGGCAGATTCTTCTTCAACATGTTCATTCAAAGCTCCCAGTGCTAGCCGAATTCCGATTTCACTTCCATCTCCGTCAGCCTTCAGGTCACGTTTTTGTTGCTCAATGGATCTTTCAAAATCTAACTCTTCTGCTTTGCACTCACTAAAGACCTTCTTCAACTTGTCCTCGCCTATAAGTTGCTCAATGAACTTCCAAAATTCCTTGTTGACGTTCATCCCACCCCAGGCCTCTCCAGAGGCACAAACCACCTCCTGAAGGGATCCGTCTTGCATGACTTCTCTCACAGTGAAATCTGCTGTACCACCTAAAAACATAATTAAATTACCATATCACACGGGGTTTTATCGTTAAAAATCAAAGGGTTCTACTCTTCCCTGGTTATACATACAAGTATTTTCTCTCCGTCCCTGGAATATTCATGACAAACTTGAAGCGAAAACCTTGCAGATGTTACATGAAGACAAGTCTGATGTCTTTGGTGAAGATCAAAGAAAATGTAACACAACATTTGATTTGTCAATCAAATTATTTGCGATAGTATAACCACGATATACTGTCTGCAAATTTCTAATTTGCATACGAAGCCTGAAATTTGCTAATTTGCATATGAAGCCCGGATTGGGACTGTTAATGATGTCAATGACCCCGACTGACCCTGACACATCACAAAATTGATTATTCATGATGTTACAAACTATTGCATGACGTTGAAAGGTCAACGTTATTCCGCCTCACTTTAAATAGTCCCGACATCATCAATCCATGGCAGAGTGACCCAGAATGTGAAGAAAACACTAAAAAATATCTCAAAATCGCTGATTCTTTTGGTGGTTTTGGCTTATATGAATTAGAATGGGGATAATTCTACCGTATTTTTTAGATTTGAAGCGGTATATCATGATTATACTGTCGCAAATATCTGTTTTACTGACAGCATGGCAGCATAACTAAACAAGAGGCCCATGGGCCTTAACAGTCACCTGAGTCCTACAGTATTTTGCTGTTGAAATAATGATGTCAAAGGAGAATAGCTACATTATTTGTCATACAAAGAAATGTATTTCACCAGTGTGAGGTCCATCAGTCAATTATCACTACCAGGTTTGAGTAAAACCAGAGAAGTGTGTAACACATGAATGCCCTTTGCCACAGAAAATGTATCTCACTGTTTGACAATTTTCTATAAATAGTAACGGTGACCTTGACTTAGTAAATAAATTTTCAAAATTGCAGCCGTGGTGGCCATATTGGATTTCTAATTGACCTGAAAAAATAACAACACTTGGTGAGGACCATAAGTCGATCATTCCTACCAAGTTGCAGTTAAATCCGCCCATTAGAACATGCATGTCTTTAAAAAGTTTGAATAGTGTTTTTCTTCAAAATGGCGCCATAGTGGATCTCTGATCAACCTGAAAAATAACAAACTTTGTCAGGACCATGAGTCTTTCATTCCTAAAAGGTTTCAGTTAAATCAGCCCATTAGAACTTGAATTTAAGTTTGAAATAGTTTATACAAATTGGCGGCCATATTGGATTTCTGATGGATCCGAAAAAGAAAAAAGAAAACTTTGAATGGCGGCAATGGATTTCTGAGTGACCCGGAAAAATACCAACACTTGGTCAGGGAGATGTCAGTAACATTCACAAGAAATATAAATGAAATCCCTTTGACAGTATTTCAGCTTAAGTTGAAAATGTAAAATGTTAATGGACGACGCACGACGCATGAAGACGGATAGCAATAGGTCACTTGAGCTTAAGTTCAGGTGATCACCTTAAAACAAACAGGCTTTGAAGTTTAGTGTAGCTTCTCTGTAATCTACAAAGGACATGTATCAGCCTACATGATTGGTCAGATTTTTCTATCTGAAACCAATTGAATAGCTTACCATAAGCCTTCAATTTTTGTGACGACATATTCGAGGGTACAGAGAAAATTTGTCTTCTGAGGCTGGAACTCTTTGATTTTGAGGAGGACAGGCAATCTGCTTATTATTACTGTACTGTAAACATTTTAAGCAAGCTTTAGTGCTGGAAAACATTTATTTGATGGAAGACAGTGCAGTGGATAAGCTCTCTACCTCACAAGTTGTGGAGATGTATCAGAGGGGGGAAATGTAATAGATATATTTCTTAACATTGGTATAATTCTTTGCTATATAGCAAATGGGCAATTAAGCCACTGCAAATCAGAAAAAATTGCCAATCGATAAAATTGGAACATTTCTTTGCTGGAGATACAAAACAGAGCAATGAGACTCGACCGTAATAGACTTTTGTTATTGTCAAGCTTAATTTCATTTAAGGAAGACCACAAACGTACTGCTATATGCACTTTGTATCACTGTTTTTTCCCTCAAAAGTTAAAAGTTTAAATTAAAATTACATATATGATGATGTAACGCCAGGGCCCGTATCCATGAAACCGTTCTCATGCTCAAGCATGGATTTTGTGCTCAAACCGAATTTCTTGTAACTCACTTAAATCATGTCAAACGATCAAAATGTAAAATTGAAAAATTGAAAACAGTATTTCGTTAGGCTCTTATGTTTTTTTCCTCCAGATTATTAACAAAATAAGATTTTATTCTTTAATTTATAAATGGAACAAGAAGTTAGTCTTTATCACAAAAATCTTGCTTGAGCATAAGAACGGTTTCATGAATACGGGCCCAGAAATAGGGTTGATAAGTGTGTCTGATCATTTCATTTTCTTAAGGCACATGTCTTATGATAAAATTGAAAGTATTTCAAAGCTTGAAAGAATTATTAAGATTCTGTTTCCAGAAATTAAATGATTCAAGAGCTTTCAAGTGCGATTTGCAGCTTGATTATCGTGATACGTGGTATGGGATTTTGGCTACATAAGACCTAGTCTTACCTCCAAGGTCGGCCACCATATACTTTGTGCCAGGGTCGTAAGTGGTGAGGAAGACATCTCCATCATCTGCTGTTTTGCGTTGGACTTGGATTTCCTTACAGTAAATAGATGCTGCCTCTGGCTCCAAAGCAAACAAAAGATGCTCATCCTTTATGCCAGCCTTAAACAGGAATTAGAGAATGTTTAAAATGGATATATATGTTTCTGTACTTCCCAAAAGTTGCTTTAATATTTTATAAGATTTTCTGCTCTTGGACAGTTTTTCAACTGTTTGCTTTTTGTGTCATGTCATTATGTGTATAGTCAATTTGATGTTTTAAGCTTCTTGACCTTTTTTATCTTTCCATCTTTTCTTTTTACCGAAACTACCCAGTACCACGAAATATCTTAATTTCTTTGTTAAAAACTTGATTAAAACTGACAAGAAATTAACAAACGGGTTACACATACAATATACAGATGGCTTGAAATACATGTTTGGAATGAATTTATTAATTTATTTTTAAGGAAGAACTTTCTTGGTCAGGTCTTTTTAAGAGGTGATTACTCCAGACAAGCATGAGGAAATCCTATTTAAAAATTGACTTTCTGATAAATAATAAAATCAGATCAATTCCTGTAAATAAAATTGTGCAAACTGTTCAGTACATTGAATGAGTGATTCAAAATATGATCCCAACATTTAACTGGTAACTTACAAAAATTAAACTTGAGGAAAAATCAATCACTCCTGTGTGGCCCAGAGAAAGAATAATTTCAACCCTGGGATAAGATTTGTTAAGTGCAGCACTCAGGAAAGCCTCATTGTGAAGTTAAAATATTTCTCTTAGATCCTAATTTCTCTGTCTAATTCACACGGGAGTGATGAAGATTCTATAAGCCTACACCAGGCAAATTTTAAATATCAATACGCTTAGTTGTGAACTAATAAGCTTAATTCATTCACTCCTGAAATTTTGTAATGAACTATTCATGGCTTTGAATTGGAAAGGTTCAAATGTGTCTTCAGGGGTGAATGAGTTAAGTATGATGATACCTTGACAGCAGCCTCCCTCATGAACTGTTTAGCGTTGTTGTCCCAGATAGCAGGCACAGTTAGCACCCAGGTGATCGTGTCATCTGTCGGCTTAATAGCCGCATTCTTGAACGACTGATGAAGCATTTCCTTGAAATATTTAATTGATTCCGAAAATACTGTCAGGGCAAGGACTTCCTGATCCTGGTCATCTTTCAGCATTGTGTCGCGCGAAAGCTTCACCTGAAAGATATACTCACAAGTTACCTTAAGTACTCCGCACTTTCTTAATATGATTTGTTTATACCTATTGCTAGGGGTGTCATAATACCTCTGGCGTACATCGCATTATATTGTCATCTACAGGGGAAAAGGTGCTCAATTAAAAAAAGAAATTGTGCCCAAAAAGTTTTCAAACTGAATCATATATCGTATGGACCACACATATTTAAGAATTTTCTGAAACCAAGTATCAATTACGAAATTTCAACCGATTCCCAGGGCCTGTTAATAGTTATTGGAATATCTGTTAGAAGGGTATCAATTTTTCAAAGTTTAAAAAACCTACCAGATTCGTAGAAAATGCCTTTTGAAAAAGTACTGCAATACAGCAATGTTTCATGATGGGATATGACACGATACCTGAGAGTTGCAACATATGCTGGTTTTCCAATTTGTAAGCAATACCCATTGCTGCATCAATGATTATTTAAAAGATGAGATACAATAAAGCTTAATGTCACCTAGGATAATCTGTAGCCAGTTGTATGTCTCATTACTTCTTACAAATTTACCTGTGTAATTAATATTAATTTTATGAGTTTCTTATTCTACCGTTTGATAAAATTTTCATAATTTAAAAGAAATCAATCAGCTCAAATAAGTATACTGTACCCCATCGGTGATAACTTCATGCCTGGTAATAAGCCCACCAACAATTTTTTCTTAGTTTCCATGGAAAGGCCAGGTGCTTGGTAATAAGCCCATCACCCCTTTCTTCATCTACATCAATTTTATAAGCTTTAACAATATTTAACCTGTTTTCTAAATGATTTTAGTATTTTTCACATTTTTAACTTCACTAGATACATTTTTATCAGGATTTGAATTACCTTTGGTTTGTGAAGGTTCATCTTGAAGTGCTTGAAGTAGTGCCATCCAAAATGGGCATTGCTATCCACCAGTTCTGAATATGTTTCCTCTGCCTCATACCCAAATGCTACAAATCCTTCATCAGGATCCAACAGCAGTGTTGTTGGCATTTTCAACGAAGGAAAGGCCTTTCCACTCTTTGCAAGCTTTTGGTGACAGTGAATTTTCAATGGATCCCTTTTGAAATCATGCTTAAATGAATGTGCGATCCCGGAGTATGTTGTTCCAAAATCAATGGCAGCAACTAAAAAAGGTTCTAGTGTTCCTGCAAGGCTTGAAGTTTGCTGATCAATACCATCCATGGTATTGTCTTCATTATCATCATCAGAAGAAACAACTGTATTACTGGCCATTGTCTAGCTGAACTGCAGCAAAAGTTAGAGTCTAGCTGAACTGCAGCAAAAGTTAGAGTCATTCACCTATAAGTTCACAAACAAAGACATTCATCGATTCCAAGATCAATTGAAAAGCTGAATTTTCCACAATGTCAAATATATATATTTACTAAATGTAAATGGAGAATTGTTCATCTTTAAATTCTCTTCAATCAGTTACAGAGTGGTAATTTTCACAGTGACAGTCTTGCTGAAATATGGGTTAAGCCAGAGAAATGACGAATGCGTTGTTATAAACACCGTTGTGTTATGCATACGGGAAACGAAAGTAGGATGTTCAAAAGGTATTGCACAATATTTTGAGTTACATTTGTTCTGGTTAAACACCTATCAACACTTTCATGTACACTATTTTATAAGCATCCCATTACTAAATATCATTTAACAGGTAAATCAAAATGTTTTCATTACGTGAATTTTAGATATTTTATGGTTATCAGTGAATGAAGTGAGTGGGGTTTCTTTCTTTACCAAAACTGAAAATACGCATATTCGTGAAATTTACAGTAAAACATGTTCAATTACCATTGTGATCAACAAAATACATTAAGATATTAATTGTGCATAATTCTTACCTTGGTCTGAAAATATTAAATTAGCTCACCAGAATGACAGGCAGACAGGCTGGTGTCCACAAAACGTTGTAAAAATTAAACGTCACCGGAAAGGGTCAATCCGGATTATTCATCGTTTCCGTCTCGCGTTTCCTGATAACTAGTATTCTCTCGTCTACCTATGGAAAAGGTAACAAATATCAAAATAATTGCAACAGAAATTATTTTTGCTTTGATTTTTCTTTCTCATAAGAATGAATACTAGATAACCAATGAACAAAAATTAGTCGAGTTTTTTTTGCTATACAATGATGATACATCATTGTGAAAAATAAAAAATAAATGAGTAGTAATTATGTGCTATAAAATCGAAATTCCAACTTAAAAATATGTTCAGTATGTGTGTTACCCGTTTCTGCTTGAAAAAAGGGGGTCGGTAGATATAGATAAGCAAGTTTTTTGGTTCAAAACATTTTAGTATGCTTATATAGAGCAGGAGTCCTAGTACAAAAATCTATGGTCGGTAGGGAAACCGTAGAAACCGGAAACACATTTTTTGTTTTGCTTTAGTTTGATCAGAGAGGTATTATTTATACGTCTCTGGAGTGACGAACCGGGAAAACATTCAGTATGTTCTGTTATGGAATACATTCAGTATGTTCTGTTGTGGAATACATTCAGTATGTTCTGTTATGGTATTATTTATACGTCTCTGGAGTGACGAACCGGGAAAACATTCAGTATGTTCTGTTATGGAAAACATTCATTATGTTCTGTTATGGAATACATTCAGTATTTTCTGTTATGGAATACATTCAGTATGGTCTGTTATGGAATACATTTAGTATGGTCTGTTATGGAATACATTCAGTATGTTTCTGTTATGGAATACATTCAGTATGTTCTGTTATGGTATTATTTATACGTCTCTGGAGTGACGAACCGGGAAAACATTCAGTATGTTCTGTTATGGAAAACATTCATTATGTTCTGTTATGGAATACATTCAGTATAGTCTGTTATGGAATACATTCAGTATGTTCTGTTGTGGAATACATTCAGTATGTTCTGTTATGGAATACATTTAGTATGGTCTGTTATGGAATACATTCAGTATGGTCTGTTATGGAATACATTTAGTATGGTCTGTTATGGAATACATTCAGTATGGTCTGTTATGGACTACATTCAGTATGTTCTGTTATGGAATACAATCAGTATGTTCTGTTATGGAATACATTCAGTATAGTCTGTTATGGAATACATTCAGTATGTTCTGTTGTGGAATACATTCAGTATGTTCTGTTATGGTATTATTTATACGTCTCTGGAGTGACGAACCGGGAAAACATTCAGTATGTTCTGTTATGGAATACATTCAGAATGTTCTGTTATGGAATACATTCAGTATGGTCTGTTATGGACTACATTCAGTATGTTCTGTTATGGAATACAATCAGTATGTTCTGTTATGGAATACATTCAGTATTTTCTGTTATGGAATACATTCAGTATGGTCTGTTATGGACTACATTCAGTATGTTCTGTTATGGAATACATTCACTATGTTCTGTTATGGAATACATTCAGTATAGTCTGTTATGGAATACATTCAGTATGTTCTGTTGTGGAATACATTCAGTATGTTCTGTTATGGTATTATTTATACGTCTCTGGAGTGACGAACCGGGAAAACATTCAGTATGTTCTGTTATGGAATACATTCACTATGTTCTGTTATGGAATACATTCAGTATAGTCTGTTATGGAATACATTCAGTATGTTCTGTTATGGAATTCATTCAGTATGGTCTGTTATGGAATACATTCAGTATTTTCTGTTATGGAATACATTCAGTATGTTCTGTTGTGGAATACATTCAGTATGTTCTGTTATGGTATTATTTATACGTCTCTGGAGTGACGAACCGGGAAAACATTCAGTATGTTCTGTTATGGAATACATTTAGTATGGTCTGTTATGGAATACATTCAGTATTTTCTGTTATGGAATACATTCAGTATGGTCTGTTATGGACTACATTCAGTATGTTCTGTTATGGAATACATTCAGTATGTTCTGTTATGGAATATCTCTGAAACAACAACCATATATATATATAACTTCGATCGTTACCCAATGCAATATGTCTTTTTTTAAACCACGAAATTAAGCTCAAAGAAAATGTATGATTTCACAATATGTCATTTTATATGTCCTGGTATATAATATTGTCTTCATTTTGGGAATTAGAATATATAGACATACTTTGTAAAGAGTATATTTGATGGTGTCCCGTTGACAGCTATACAAGATGTATAAACGTACTCGTGAATATGGCGCATTGATAGTGAAAATAGTTTTCACGAGTGTGAAGGACGAGTGAAAATATCGCCATATTATGCCATACGAAGAAAAAAACATGAACTTTTCTACCTATTCCATTTTATAAAGTAAAATGACAAAACTTTACTGCATTATCTTTTTGTTCTTGCGTGAATATCCCTAGCCCGAGCTTCCTCTGGCCCTGACACCAGACTTTGACATTTTGACAGGCAGATGTCTGGGCGAGTTTTCTCTGGCCCTGACACCAGACTTTCACATTTTGACAGATAGATGTCTGGCCGAGTTTCCTCTGGCCCTGACGCCAGACTTTGACATTTTGACAAAAAGATGTCTGGTCGAGTTCCCTCTGGCCCTGACACCAGACTTTAACATTTTGACAGATAGACGTCTGCTCGACTTTCCTCTGGCCCTGAGACCAGACTTTGACATTTTGACAGGTAGATTTCTGGTCGAGTTTCCTCTGGCACTGACACCAGACTTTGACATTTTTACAGGTAGATGTCTGGTCGAGTCTCCTCTGGCCCTGACACCAGAGTTTGTAAAGCAGGTAAAGCGATCCATGCCCCTGTGGATCTGGTCGAGTTTCCTCTGGCACTGACACCAGACTTTGACATTTTGGCAGATAGATATCTGGTCGAGTTTCCTCTGGCACTGACACCAGACTTTGACATTTTTACAGGTAGATGTCTGGTCGAGTTTCCTCTGGCCCCGACACCAGACTTTGACATTTTTACAGGTAGATGTCTGGTCGAGTTTGCTCTGGCCCTGACACCAGACTTTAACATTTTGACAGATAGACGTCTTATCTAGTTTCCTCTGGCCCTGACGCCAGACTTTGACATTTTGACAGGGAGATGTCTGGTCGAGTTTCCTCTGGCCCCGACACCAGACTTTGACATTTTTACAGGTAGATGTCTGGTCGAGTTTGCTCTGGCCCTGACACCAGACTTTAACATTTTGACAGATAGACGTCTGCTCGACTTTCCTCTGGCCCTGAGACCAGACTTTGACATTTTGACAAAAAGATGTCTGGTCGAGTTCCCTCTGGCCCTGACACCAGACTTTAACATTTTGACAGATAGACGTCTTATCTAGTTTCCTCTGGCCCTGACGCCAGACTTTGACATTTTGACAGTTAGATGTCTGGTCGAGTTTCCTCTGGCCCCGACACCAGACTTTGACATTTTTACAGGTAGATGTCTGGTCGAGTCTCCTCTGGCCCTGACACCAGAGTTTGTAAAGCAGGTAAAGCGATCCATGCCCCTGTGGATCTGGTCGAGTTTCCTCTGGCACTGACACCAGACTTTGACATTTTTACAGGTAGATGTCTGGTCGAGTTTGCTCTGGCCCTGACACCAGACTTTGTAAAGCCGGTAAAGCGATCCATGCCCCTGTGGATCTGGTCGAGTTTCCTCTGGCCCGGACACCAGACTTTGACATTTTTACAGGTAGATGTCTGGTCGAGTCTCCTCTGGCCCTGACACCAGACTTTGACATTTTTACAGGTAGATGTCTGGTCGAGTTTTCTCTGGCCCTGACACCAGACTTTAACATTTTGACAGATAGACGTCTGATCAAGTTTCCTCTGGCCCTGACACAAGACTTTGACATTTTGACAGGCAGATGTCTGGGCGAGTTTTCTCTGGCCCTGACACCAGACTTTAACATTTTGACAGATAGACGTCTTATCTAGTTTCCTCTGGCCCTGACGCCAGACTTTGACATTTTGACAAAAAGATGTCTGGTCGAGTTCCCTCTGGCCCTGACACCAGACTTTCACATTTTGACAGATAGATGTCTGGTCGAGTTTCCTCTGGCCCCGACACCAGACTTTGACATTTTAACAGGTAGATGTCTGGTCGAGTCTCCTCTGGCCCTGACACCAGACTTTGACATTTTGAGAGGTAGATATCTGGTCGCGTTTCCTCTGGCCCTGACACCAGACTTTGTAAAGCAGGTAAAGCGATCCATGCCCCTGTGGCTTACAGAACGTGTCTGCAGAAATTATGTTTGCTGATATAAAATATAAATAAATTATATATTGCAGAAGTCTCAATTTTGCAATTACTTCGTGGGATTAGCCCATTTTAAAATGATACTGAGACAGATAGATCTTATACATAGGATCTCACATGAGTTTTCATGAGATTTATGAAACGATCGAGTCTAAGAATTTTTCAATTTAGCGAGCCTCTGGCGAGCTAAAACGAAAAATTCTTGACGAGTTTCATAAATTTCATATGAAGTGAAAACGAGTGTAAGATCCTCTTTATCACATAATCAAGATTTGTTGCAATTTTTCGTGTAAAACGACAATTTCATGCAACCTTGAAACGTAAAAAGCCGCCATTTTGGCTCCAGTGGACGAGACGAGTGTAAGATCTTTTTTATCACATAATCAAGATTTGTTGCATTTATTCGTGTAAAACAACAATTTTCATGCAACCTTGAAATATAAAAAGAAAGGCCGCCATTTAGACTCCAGTACGTAAGTAAATGTATGTGACGTCATGTACTTGTCCTAGCCGTGACATCACAATTGAAACAATTGAAACAAACTTACAACCAATCACAGAGCTGATAGGTCATATTGCATGGGTTAATAAGCAAAAAAAAACACATATGACATGGGTATATCAACTGGATAACACAGTACATCGTGTGATAAAACACAGTACATTATTATGCAATAATTATTCACTTTTCCCCTGTTGGAGTGGGAGGGACGGGGGNCCTAAATGAGTCCACTGACCGACATGCACGTTTCCTTTTCCTGTTTGGCAATATGATCCATTCTATAATAATTGGTCGGTTCTAGGGAAGTGTCCTAGACCTAAACAGTCCGGTTAACTGATAAGATAGACATGTAGACTACAGCATAATACTCACCCACACACATTGTCTTCACCTAACATACAAGATAAGTAGTCGTGAAACTCAAATCGTCTTTACAGCTATACACTGATCAGACAGACATGAGGCAACGAAAGTCAGGTAATGTTTCCACGTATTTCAGACGCAGGGAAAAGACAACTGAACTTTTTGACCTACATATAAATGTTACGACCATGCCAACCATGCATATTTATTCATTTACAATTAGTTGGGGCGGGAAGTTTCGCTTTATGTTCAAAAGTGCACATAGATTTTTTTCGGGTACCCCAAAAGGAATCATGATCGTTCCGTATAAATGAATTTAAAAAGACAAACCCTTTCTGTTGAGAAATAATGAATTGCTATTCATTTTTATATAAAAATCACAAAATACAACATTGAGCTATAATTTCATCGCCAAGTAACTTCAACCAGTATATAAAATCTGTATACATAAACAAAGGCTAATACTTCGTGTCTGTCTGTCTTGCTGTCTGTCTAATCTGTTGGTATACGTAGGTACAAACACACTCTCCAAGCAGTTAATATATTTGATAACGATGAACGAATGTCAATCTCACTACCACCGTCACTCCGTCTGGCTTATAATATAAGATTTATTAAATATTAAATTTCATTTTTTTGATACATTTTAACGTCCTCATCACAAGACTCAATTACATGTAGTTTATTAAGTACTTAAAATTTTAAATAGCCGGACCCTAAAATCCTCGTGAAGGACTTGATAATATGCCGACTCCGGAAGATTGTCTCTATTGATCATCCATTTATCGTCTGCTTGGCGACTGCTAGCCCAACTTTCATGTGGCCCTGACCCCAGACTTAGACATTTTGACAGATACATGTAGATGTCAGGTGTAGGTCTGGTGTCAGGCCAGATGAAACTCAGGCTAGATGGCAGCAAGATATCGGGTGGGGGTCTGGTGACGGCTACCAGATATTTGTTCTGTATAGTGTGCTCTTTGTCTCCCTTTTACCTGCCTCGATAATTATATTCATCGCATTAACGAAAAGCAAAACAAATGCTCATCTGCAGCTTCTAGCGCAAAGTCTCATAGTCTTGTACCGCAAAATGCAGACATATCCCTTCAACGTAGCTCCGTTCGAACCCTTTCATCGTGTCTAAACCATGGTACTGGTCCAAAACCTCCTCTATAAGACTATGTTATGCCTCCCTTTTTATCTTCTCGTCCATGAGCAGCATACATACATCACACTGTTGTTGTGCTCAACACTTCCCGATAATCCAGAAATACCAGCCATTTTTGCTGATGTACCACATACCAGAAGGGTCGTCATATAAGTTCTCATCCTAATGGCAAATACAGAAAATAGTTTATCTTGCCCTCCATATGTAGAAATGGGATATCGTTCTAAATGGCCGAGTCCTGGTCTGTCCCTCTGACCTTTTCCTCCTACTGTACGCTGAATAGACGCTTGCTGCCTAATTTAAAATATCTCCTTCTATGGCTGATGTAAATGTTTTTTCGAATACGTTTACAGTAAACCACTGTAGTTCGTGTCGTTGACGTGATGCGCTTGTCATTTTCAACACTTTATTCACTTCTTTTGCTGGTCGGTTAGTATGTGCAGGGTTTTTGTAATGAAAATTTCACTTTTCTTCCACATCTCTCTTCGTGACTTTCTTTATTATTATTTCCACTTTCCTCTTTCATTAAGTTTCCCTCTAGGAATCCCTCAGTCGGTCTCGTCCCCATTTCTCGTCGTATATACTCTGCCAGCATTGCTTCTCCAGAGTTCGAAGTCCGTTGGTCACTTCATATTGCTGAATTACTGCTGCGTGTGATTTTCGAAGTCTTCCTTCTCCTTGCTATCGTTCCTTGGTCACTTCATATTGCTGAATTACTGCTGCGTGTTATTTTCGAAGTCTTCCTTCTCCTTGCTATCGTTCCTTGGTCACTTCATATTGCTGAATTACTGCTGCGTGTTATTTTCGAAGTATTCCTTTCACCTTGCTATCGTTCCTTGGTCACTTCACTGGCTGAATTATTGCTGCGTGTGGTCTTCTTATCCTTGCTGTCGACCACTACCCCCATGGTATCGATAGTTTGCTGCTGCAAAGGTTTCCCTTTTGGCCATCCTCATATTCGAGTGCTGGATAAACGTATTTATAGACGTGAAGACATTATCGGTACTGTGTCGTATCTCCTTACCTTGGTCCTCTAGCATCTCACCAGTATTCACCCTGTGCGTCCCTCTGCTTCCCAAGTATCTCACACTTTTTCTCTGGCATGTTTTTCTTTTTCTACCAAGGTCGTTGTACTCTGCTAGTAGATTTCTTAGTCCCAGGGGTTAGCTGTATCTTCGACAGCACGGTCCCAAATATACACACTTTACTCATTGTCATTTTGAAATTAATCAGTACTCCTCTGATTTTTAAAATTCCCATAATTAAGGGTATTGACATTCATCATCCTCTCCTGTTTCAACAATAACTTAGAGCAATTTGGATTTCCCTGGATTTCCTTGGATTTCCATCATTTTCGGCAAGTAGAAACAGCTCCATGTACAGCGTGGATACAATCATGTATGTTTGTTGCGTTCATCCACGTCCTTAAATATATTTTTACATTTCGCAGCAAACCTAATTCTCGTGCTGTTGATGTGTGTTGGGCGGACGGCGTGTCTGTCAGGGTCCATGAGGGGCTGGTTGACGACAGGGGACCACACAATCCTGTTACGTCAGCTTCCTACCATATACGGACGCACGGGAGGGGGAAGTGGAGTTCACATCTCGGTGGACAGGAACAAGCGGTACCAGACCATGGAAGGATTTGGTGCAGCACTCACGAGCTCGGCCGCTTATGTCATCCACAACAGTCCTGAATACGACGAAATAGTCAACGAACTGTTCAGCCCTTACGCCGGGATCGGTAAAATTCTTACCTTATTTATTTTGCAATAATTATTCAGCAAATTTTGTTTAACTTATATTAATCAACTCTGTTGGCATACATGAGAGCACACAAGGTTCCTAATATGGGACGAAACCGATGAGCTTAATTAATTATATCATCATAAAAGTTCTCTCTTGTTGGCTGAAGGTCAATACAATCTCATAACAAGTGTTAATGGTTCGTGACATGTATTGGAGCTGGTCTTCCCTTTTCAATAAATAAGAATGGTTAATGTATGAATGCCCGATCTGGAGACGGGCTAGGGAACCTCGTCTCGGCGGTATTCTCAATGAGATTAGTTTTATAATCGAAATTCTAACAACAGTATAAGCAGATGCTGGAATTCGGATTGCCTCACATACAGATATATGTAACAGAGCATATTGTTGCCATGCAGGTATCAGCTACATCCGATTGCCGATGGGAGCGTCGGATATCCAGGCAGAGGCGCCGTATACGTACGCCGACACTCCCTACGATTTCAATCTTGACCACTTCAGCATACAAAAGGATAGACAGTTCATACTCCCCGTCATCAAGAAAGCACTACGGGTCAACCCCACTCTGAAGATAGTGGGAACTCCCTGGACCGCTCCGGCGTGGATGAAAAATACCAACAGACTTCAGGGAGGTCAGTTGAAGTGGGATGCTAACGTCAATGAGGCTTACGCTAAATACTTCGTGAAGTTTATTCAGTCATACCAGAACGAGGGAATTAACATCACAGCGGTAACAGTTCAGAACGAGCCGCTCAACGGCAATAATCAGTATCCTACCATGGAAATGTCCTGGCAACAGGAAAGCGAGTTTGTGAAGCATCACCTTGGCCCCATGTTCCGGTCAAATAACATCAAGACAAAGATCCTTATTTATGACCACAACTGGGACAATATCGATTATGCAAATAATATTTTGAATGATCACGAGACAAGCCAGTACGTGTCGGGAGTAGCATGGCATTGCTACGCTGGGGACAAGAACGCTCCTCTTCAGGTACATAACAGTCACCCAAATGTTGACATGTACTTCACCGAGTGTTCCGGCGGCGACTGGGCTACTGATTTCAGCGGCAACTTGATGTGGAACACAGCGACGCTATTCATTGCACAGCCTCGCGCATGGACAAAGACAGTCTTACTATGGAATCTTGCACTAGACGAAAATCACGGTCCACACGTGCAGACGAATGGAGGCTGCAAGACATGCAGGGGTGCACTCACTGTTAATTCGCACGGGGGATACACCAAGGAAGTGGAATTCTACCTTATCGGTCACCTCAGCAAGTTCGTCAAACCTGGCGCGGTCCGGATAGACTCGTCCACCGGTCAAAACACTAACACTGTGGCCTTTCAGAACCCCGACGGCTCCGTGGCCGTGCTGATTCAGAATTCTGATTCCAGTTCCCATGACGTAACGATACAGGTGAATAACGACGGCCGATCCTACACTTACAACATGCCTGGTCACGCGATCGCCACCTTCGTACTTTGAGTTAGACACGTGTTACCTACCTACCGTCACAAGGACCTGATAGTTTGTTACAGCTGTATTTGTCCCTAAACTAAGGTTTTCAGAGTATTTGACACGGTTTAGGGGGTTATATCAACTTTCTTTTTAAATCCATCCCCAGTGATAGGGGTTGGCATACTAACCGAACCCATTAGTTTAGGTCCAAATATAGCTCTAACATATTCTGAGGTTCCTGTGCCTACCGCCAATACACGTGCACTTGTATTAATTCCATATTTCCGTGATGTTCAAGTTGAACATCACATATAAAAACGAAATATATCGAGTCATAATGCATTTATTGTTTCACATTTTGTTTTTGTTTTCTTTCTCTAATTCGCGAAATAATCAATTTCTTTGAATCATGTAACATTTGTTTCCTTAGACTTTCTGACGTCAACGAAGGTTATAACAGTTGGGAGACCACTGGCGCTAAGACCACCCAATGAATAATTTACAAAATATTCAACCTCACTGACTGGCACCACGCCACGCACCTACTTACGGATGGTTTGATTGACTGATTTGCGGCAACTCTCGTATTGTATTAAATAATTGTTGTAATTAGTAGTCAATAACATAAATAATATCATATAGATATATAATCTTTAAGTAATCTATCATTACTAAATCATATGGGGCAAAGAAGTAATTCCAACAGTGTGGACACGTTTAGGTTGTCAAATTTTCGGAGCGATCCGCTCCTTTTTCAAGACACAGTGAAACAGAACAGTTACATGTACATATACATCATATTACAAGAAGGTAGAATTGATATGCTATAATTGAAAATATAGCTATTAAATAAAACCAATAGTCCCCTCGGCTAAAGACAGCCGAAGGCAGCAATTAAGCTGAGAGCATCGCGGACAAGGAACGCTGATGTAGAAGACCTATTCTTGCGCTTTGACCCATTACTTAATAATAAGTATACGTATTTCATTTTTGAAAGGAGAGGCCCCAATACTTCTGGTATCCAAGATATGTAGAATAAAATATTTTGAAATGAAAATGAAAAATAAAAGTTAAGCCGAGTGTACTATCAAAAAGAAATTTTAGATGTAAAAGAAGACCAAAACGATCAAACAAATTCCTTGGCAGTGTAGGAAACAAGAGAAACGTTTCTTTGAATTTGGAACAATGAGGTATTTCATAAATGTTCAGTTGATATTTACCTAGGTTTGTTATCAACCTGCTCAATATCGTCTCCTACTGAAGGGTACAATGTAAGCAGGCGTATGCGATCTGCCCTCTGTATATACTGGTTGCCAAACTTGCTGCACCAGGACAATCTGAATAAAATACAGCTCCTCATTATACTATCGTTCTACACTATAGACAGTTGTTCCTGAGCTGTATTTTAATCAGATTGGCACCAGGAACAAGTATCACCAAACATATCAGTCTTACTATCTAGTGTAGACATCAATTCCATCTCAACGGTCTCACTGAGGTGGGCACGCACAGCGTGGATTAAAGGCGCAGTCTGTCATTGCGGTCGACAATCAAGATCTCTTTCATATTGCAGCACTTCTCCGTCGTGTTTGGCAGGCAATTGCCATGCAATCCACTCTTGCAACATTCCAACATTTGTAAGTAGAATAGATGCAATGAACTCACTTCAAGCTGGCTCCTTCTTGTTAGAAAGCTTAGAAAAGAAGAACTACATCGTCAGAGTTGGTATTTTCTGTAGCTATGTTTGTACTGTCTGAAGTGTCAACCTGGCTCAGAAAACCGATGAGATAATTGCCACACTTTATGACTTATCGGGCCAGACGTAACAAGCCAACATGATGGTGAATTTGGGCACTTGTTTTTGTTAATCTTTATACATTCATTGGCCTTTTCTTTCTTGTTCTACAATGTAGTTTCATATATGCATTGTTTATATCAAAGTTCACTTGCATCTGCTTTGTCATTTGAAGTTCCATATCAGCTGATCGATCTGTTTGTTCGTGTGACTCGCAGCTGTGAGAATCGGCAGGTAAGGTAGCATTTCCGATTCAGGTTGGATTTCAAAATCAGATTGTACATAACTTGGGGTTTTCCTTTGGGTTCTGCTCTTGATGAAATCTTAATCTCCTCCTTTAACTTGCTATGGTGTCTTAACGACAAGGAAGGTGTGGCTCTCGAGTTTTTGTCATTAATTCCCTTTGGCTGGAGCTACAGATATTATATTCAAGAATTTACTCTGGGTCTGTTTTGGAGGATTTCAATTTCTACAGCATTTCACCTTTCTGTATGCCTTCGGTCCTCTCCCATACATTCGTCTGAATTGATTTTGCCTCCAACACAAATATGGTGTCACCATTCCTCAAAACAAAGCAGTAATACCACTCAAAGAAAAAATTGCTTTATGTCAAACTTGTCATTATGTTGTGGACCTATGATTTCGTGGCTGAAGATTACACGGCCCCAGGATCATTAAAATATCCTGAGTCAAACATTCTCTTAACTTTTGACCTAGCCAATGGCAAATAACGTCATGAAAAGTGCGACATACATGATTGGCTAAGCAAAAAATTTAGTTTAATTTTGTTTCATAACCCTGGGGCCTGGTGATTTACCCTCATCAAAAACTGCTTTGTGGACCTTTCCAGTCATTTCTACGTCAAGAAAATTGAATCAGAAGGCAGAGAACTAAGTATCTGATCATCGTCCAAATTTCTATCTAAATCACAAATTACTGCATTTGATGCTCTCCTGCCAGCTAAATGAAGAAAGCTGGACTACTGTCTCGCTCTCTACAATTATCATTATGCAAGGAAAGAGCAGAACAAAGAAAACATGATGCAGCAACATGGTACGGTCACTGTAATTAAAAATAATCCCTCTTTACTATAAACTCTACATGTAAGGTGGCGTAAAGTAAATCAGGATCTGATTTGAAAAGATGGTGCAGCAAAATACATGTTCCCAAAAACAACACCCTCACATAAAATGATCGCAGTATGATTTATATACACTGTAGTTGTTTAAATTGAAGATCTTTCATATTTCTCCAATGTGAAGCAATCCGCGTAAAAACATGCAGAACAAAAATATATATATCGTGATTGATTAATTTTATTAGAAATGAAACCACACATTTCAGTCTTTCAAGATTAAGAACATAACAAATATCATTGGTTTGATAATGACAAGCAGTATATTCAGTAACAACATATAATTAATGACAGTGACATCTACACAGAGAAATAAAATGTAAAAAAAAATATATATAAAATTTGTATAATGGATGGAATCGTTGAATTTGGCAACAAAATAAATAAATTGAAAGGGAAATAATACACTACAGACAAAAACTCTAAAACAAATGTAAGACTGAGTTTAACCTTTACACCCCTATGTGTCTTTAGTAGACTCTGCCTTGCATTGATCATGATGAGTCCATTATAGTTTACAGGGTGAAAGGTTTATGGTAACTGCACTATAGTCATTACCTTATTCTCCATTTTTAATTACCATACTGATTCATATTTCGCAATACCTGAAAACACCTACCAAATATGACGTCAAAATGTCACAAAATCTCCCTTAGTTTGCCTATTTTACATCTAATATTTATTTTCTTGATACTCTAGACAACAGTTTGAGCAGAAAGAACTACAGAATTGTGTAAACTATAGAAGCAAATCCTTTTTTCTGCCTTTTAACCTTAAAGTTTTCCACACACATTTTACATGCGAGTACAAACCAGATGAATTTTCGTGTTACTGTAAATCTCACCTAAAGAAGATGTCCGTAAAATATGCTGATGTTTTCTTTTTGAAAGAACCAATTGGCAGGGGTACCGATTTATGACTGCATAAAACCTTTCATGACAAGCATGAGTTTTTCGTATTGATGCAAATAAAATGCAAGAAAAATGTGTTCATGTTTGAACCGTGTTCTTCTCGCCCTTTGATTTCATCCACACAAAGTTGTCTTCAACAACAAAGTTTCTAGATCTACAAGATAGGTACAATTCCTGAATCAAAGTATTTTCGTCTGAAGTGACAAAACTCTAATGTTCATATAGAATTGACTATCATTTCTGGAGCTGCAATCAAGAGTAGCTCTTGCTATTTAACTGGTCTTTATAGCTGCAATCTAAGAGATTACTCAACAAGTACAAGTACCAATGAGGGCGCTAGAACTTTCTAAAACTCAGAATTAAAAGGATTACTTAAGTCGAACATGATTCCATCCATCAAAATACACTGAAAACTATATCACTTGCTGTTAACAGGAGATTCAGCTGTGTATATAATGCAAAACATCAACATTTACTCTAACAACAAATCAAGAAAAATCAAAATGTTGTCGACAGGTTCTGCATCAAGCTTACACAAAACAAAAATAATGTTTCTGCTTTTGTGCCAACCTAAAAATTCTGTGTTGGTTTTTTTTTTGAAAGTTCTATCCAGGGAAAATAATTATATAATCTTACCATTGGTTTTATCGTTTTGAAAAGAAACTAAGGCATCTTCACTAACAAAAATGTTGATGATTTTTATAAGCTTGGATTATGTGTCACTTCTTGCTGTTTACCGTTTGACCATTTTTACCAATTCACCCCTGAAGACACATGCTCCATTCATGAAGTGAATTAAGAGTACATAAGAGATTATCTCTGGGTATCCAAAGATGACACACATTTCGTAGTAAGTATAAATTTTGAAAAAATAATTAATAAAGAAAATTATTTGCAAATTTCCACACTTGAAAATAAATAATGAAAGTTTCATTCAAGATAAGTTTTGAACAGAAAGGCAACAATCTTGATGCATAAATATTATCCACATTTTGGTTCACACATACACGCGAAACTGTATATACAATACGTCACATCATGAATGGAAAACAATGAAAACATGGAAAAGAACTGCAAGAGGTTACTGGTATTACTCTGTTCTATCTCTAACTCTGAATCCTTTACAGTTACTGTACACTGGAGAATTTTTCCCCAGTCAAACTTTAGCCCTTTGCCAGAATAATCCATATTGTGTGCCCAGTGTTAATTTTGCCCTTCACATTTAATTACTATACATATCACGTTGTTTACTGATGTTGGCTGTAATGATAAATTAATCCTCATTACATCAGGCGAAAAAAGCGAAAATTTAACTGCAGCGAAAATTTCCCGGTACACAGTATTTACAATGTGGACACAGTGATAACAAATAATTAGCAATAAATATAATCAACAACTGAGGTCAATTCAACCTTTACACACATTCAAACTCATGCAAATTCATACACAACCATGGTCAAGATTTCAGAATATTTTGTCAAGTGAATCTATTTTAAATGATATTTGATTGAAAAAATTGTTTTCACTTTTAATTCACTTTTAATTCATCCCACTGGAGAACTTAAGTACATATAAGTAAAGGTCTTATATTTTAACTGTTAAAAAGTTAAGACGCCTCAATTGGTGGGGGAAACTGATCACGAACGGGATTTTGTAATACATGTATTATAACCAGCAATGGTTGTGAAATACTGCGAAACTGAAAATCTTCGCATGTTGAAATGTTCGCGTTGTGACTCGTACAACTGATCGCAGTGTGGAAATGGATCTTAAAATTATATGTTCTATATTTCCATAGTCTATAAATAAATATGTGCATGTATTTGTGTGTAGATATTTTTGCACTATTTTACTCAACGCAAAAAAAGCAATCATTCACACAGTGAAATCCCCCTTTACTAGACCTGAGGACAATATTTAAACAACTTTTTTGTTTGAAATGTTTTATAAAATGGAGGATTAGAAAAGATGCTGTACTTGACCCTTTCACCCCTAGGTAACTTTAGTAGACTCTACCGTACATTGATCTGGATGAGTACTAGTCCATTATGGTCTACAGTGGTGAAAGGGTTAAGCTTAAAACATTACTCTCTCTTCTCTTGATTGATATGACTAATGGTCTTAACATTTCATTAACAATTGTTACTATTCATAGAACTTTTACACAAAATGTTTACCCCTTTTCAGCATTTAGGTTGTTATTTAATGATCTACCGTCCTCACATTTCAACTTATGGAAATGGATATTGCAATATCCAAGTGTAATATTACTCCAACAAATACCCACCTTGTCTTGAGGGTAATAGATCGGATAATTCATCAGAATTAGGTGGGACTTTGCTCAATCACAGAAACACTTGTTTGTCAAAGATGACATAAATCTTAGCATCTCCCAACAAACCAGGGAAATACCCCTATCTGAATAAAATCTCTCTTCCAACTCACATGCTAACATTAATAATGTATATTTGTACAAAATCAGACATTATATATAAAGTACAGAAATTCATGACACTAATGCTACATCACAAGTAAAATGATTGACAATTAGGTTCAAAATTGACAAAGGAAATAGTACTCAGTACATGTCCATTGTTATTTTAAATCATAAGGAACGTTAAAAAAATGCCATTGGAAATTTTGTCATAAATAATAAAATTTCACATTAACCAAAATTTCTTTATGTTGAGATTTAAAGTCATTCAGAAACAACATTGACATCAAAAGCCATCATGTTTTATGTAAATATCTGGAAAAAAATCATTATCGCAATAAAAATGCTGAAATGTAGCCAAAAAGGACTGAAAAGATTTAACTTTAAGATTTTAACTCATTCACCCCTGAAATTTCATAATGAACTATTCCAACCTTTGAATTGGAAGAGTTCAAATGTGTCTTCAGGGGTGAATGAGTTAAGTCTGGAGCCCTCATTTCATAGTTAGTATAAGATCTTTTTTATCCTGCCTAGAGAGAAACAACATATTTTTCCTGTAAAAGAATCATGCATACTGGTAATAGATTTTTTTGTAAACGTTACACATTGAGGCATGAGATTTTTTTCCATTTACGATATATGGACCACAGGCTCCAAAAGAAGAAGGTATTACCCAGTACCTGAAATTCATTGCTACAGCATCCAATTCTATAATTCTACACGAATCAATTTGCATTACTAATACATCTGTACTTGTCAATGAAAATTGTTGAAAAATGTAAGAATCACAATCTCCAGAAGATCACAACACTAGTTTTGATGATATGATAATAATATCTACCCTAATCATCCATATTTTTTTTCCAAGTAGATAGAAATACAGTTCAGCTCACCACCCATTTCAGAAGGGTCGAGAAATGTTGCACAAACATAAATAGTTTAATTATAAACAGCACAACAGCTGCTGTATATAGTCACTGTAACACAGAATCTATACTTGGGTCCGGCTTCTTCCTGTACAAAAATAAAATAAAAAATCTTTATGAATCTTTATTTTGAGAATACACAAAACAGTCTTATTCAGAAACATGAACTTTAAACAAATCAGCATTTTTTTGGCAAAAATGGCTTTAACAAGATTCTCAAACTACAAAGAAATCATAATTGGGGAAAAAATGAAACTTCAAGTTGTATGTAAATTCCTTGTCACAGAGATTACGTTGTATTTTTATTTTAGCATGTCAAAGGTCAAATTGCATTGCATCACCTATGTCAGAGGTCACCATATGAAAAATCATAGATGCACCAACACTTAAGTCTTACTTCAAGTTTGGTATATTTACTTATACTTAATATGCAGAAATAATACTCAAATGTGGGGAAGCATGATAGCATTCCAGTAAATATTAAGCATACTTCTTTGAGCTCTTGGGTCGATTGCCAGTTTTGGGTCGTTCAGATTTGGGTCGAGACATCTTGGATGATTTAGATCGTAGGGCTTGCTCTGCCCCCTCAGCAGTGTAAGCGAGATAAACATTGGATAGGTCTGGCTCCTGGAACTGTAAGACACCAAACATGGTTAATATACCATAGAATTTCTACTTTTTTGACAATCGTTGTTGTAATGGAGGATATTTTTCATTGAATAGTAAAGTAACTCTTTTTTTTTTAACATTCTTTTTAAAATGTCACAATTCAAGAAATTCATATATTTGACACACTGCCTAGGTCCCTAGAATTATAATATACCACTTCTAAGAATGTCCCAATAGAAATAAATATTATTTATAAACTTACGTCACAAATAGTGACATGAATCCATATCTATAGAATGCCACGTTTATATAACATGAACAATTTTATGCTCCAGGTAATCACATGCTACACCAATAATGAATACTATATCAATAAGAAACATTTGCCATTTGACATGAAATATCTGTCGTTCAAATGGATGAAAGGTTGAAGAGCAAAGAAGAAGAATGGATGGTGAACAAGCAGGGCTCCTAACACTGGAATTCCTCAATTAGATGTTGGAAAAAGAAACACAATTTATACACAGGGAAAAATATTTTGCCCTTCACCAGTATAAACTGATGTTTGCCAAGTGTTAATTTCCTCATTTCCTCACTTGTTTTTGTAGGTAATCAGTTCATCCACGAATTCATATAGTTCCACAAAGTAAATACAAGTTTGACATAAAGCAATTCTCCATTAGAGTTGGTACTCGTAATCCACAAATGCATGTACCCACAAAATGGTGTTTTGTCGGAAAACCATGAAATTTGTGCTCTTCAAAAATATCTGATTTCACAGTTTTTATCAAATTTTGTCATCATGATGATTTTGCCTTCATTACCAAGTGGAAAATATGAATGTCAAACTAGAGGGCTTATTTCCAGATGTACATTATGTAATTGCCCCTAGCTAGTCCCTACCCGATCCTTCTCCTTGTCCGGTTGGGGCGTCTGTTTCCTCATGTTGTTCCCTGTGTAGGCCACACACTTGAGCTGCCACTCCCCAATGTCATCATTCCAGTGGACATGGTCCTCTATCATTTCCTTTAACACACAAGGATTATCATAAGCTTGGCCAACATGAATCTTCCAAGAGGTTTACTGCTATCAAGACAAGCTATACCAGATATCCTTGTACAAATTTAATACACTGATATATGCAGTGATCTTCTGTTGGCATGCAGTGCATAAAACATCTTTAGTACCTGACCATGTTAATTAGCTTCTTCTAAAGCCAAAATAACTAAAACAAATTTGTGTTGACAATTGACAGAAAAAGTTTCTTGCCAAAATAATCATTGGCAGTATGTATATTTTACATTAAAATTGTATGTGAGGTCATGACAAAGTGTAAAAAGAGGCAATTTTAAAATGCCCTTGCTATTTGAAGTCAAACCTATATGTTTTCTCTTGAGGATGCTGCATGATGTAGATTCTCAAGAACAGAATCCCTGTTTCAACAGGGAAGATTTAAAGGTGACCTATCATCAGTAACAGCGCTGATGTCATTGTTATTGTATAGTTTTGTATGACAACAAAAGGACAAGCTATTCATTTAATTTAAAATGAAAGAAAATTTTAGTTAGAAAACCGATCTAATCCTTCCCCACTTGAAAGATGAAAAAATGTTCAACCCAAGGGATAAGATTCTTTAAAGGTTATGCTAAAAAGTAGTTAAAAAAGACTTTTCCAAACTGGCAACGTGGAAAAACTTGTCCGACAGGGGAGATAATTTGAATTAGGGTGACATCTACCTGGTACTCGGCAGGTATAAAGGTGTCAATCAGCGTCATCTGTAATTTAAGTTCTCGGCTGAGTTGGCGAACATTTTCCAGTAAACCTTCCATCTCCCGTTGATGCTCCTGTTGTAAATCGGCTATCTGTAACATATAAATAAAGAACATTTTAGTATGGTGAATGTTTTTAGTATAAGCCACAGAACATTTTTCACAACCAAACATTTATAATATAATAATTTATTATAATATTCACCTCAAAATGGAGATCTATATTCCTTAAGAGCAAACTAGGAAAACAGATCTTGGAGAATGAAATGATGCAGATTCATGAGATTTCCTTTGTTTCCTTTGCATCAATATATTATTATCAGAAAGCTACATTAACAAAAATTAATATTTTTTTGTTTTGTATGTTTGTGATCTATAACTGATTGGTAGTTCACCATGGGTGACTCAAAATATATAATTAAACAATATTAAATCAAGATATTTCACTCTGTTTGTGAAAAAAATAATTGTTGATTTTTTATTTTACTGATATCTACCGTATAGTTTCAAATACAGTCAAGGGAGGTCATGTGATTGGACCATCATAATGTGCACACAAATTTAAATCTAACTGAAATAATTCAAAGTAATTTATAATTACTAGGATACAAAAGGTACAAAAAATTACCTCAGATTTTGCTTGCATAAGCATTGTCCAAACTTTCTTCAACTTCTTGGTTTTGCCTGTGATTTCTTCTTGCAAACAGGAATATTTCTCTTCAATATCAAGTCTTTCTTGCTGAAAACAAAATGAACAATGCAGTTATAATTATATATTGAAAAATAAGACTGTAAAACATTAATTAACTGCACAAAGAGATTATATGATTTGAACAAAGAGATTATATAAAATTAAACAATAAAATCATATGACATCTTTTGAACAATGATGTTATATGTGGACAAACAAGTTATTGTACATGTATTTTAAAATGTAATATTAAAAGGATAAAGCCTGCCAGACCTGCAAATATTAATGCAGCCACAAACATTTTTTGTAAAGGTTTGCCAGATAGCAACATCAAATCACTAGATTTGACCCTATTTCGTAAACAAACAATCGGGAACTCTGCTTGGAACATGATACAAGATAGTATTATCTTGTTTGCATGCTATCTAATAAACAGCTGATAAAGGCAAAAATAAATCTATTAAGAAACACAGGTGGTTTATAGTATCAAATTTTCTACAAACTAGTATCTGCCTACCTCCTTCTCCAGCAGTGCTCTCCTCAGCTCCTCCTCTTTGACCTTACGCTCCTCTAGTTCCATGGCACTCTCCTCTAACATCCTCTCCTGCTCCTCAGCCTTCTCTAGCAGATTCTCCCCACCAACAATGATCTTCTTCTCAATGGCCGCCAACTTCTGGGTCAGCTGGTCTTGTTCATCCCTATTTTACAATTAGTTATTCAAAATCTGAACAAAACCTCCTCTAGCCCCACTTTGAATCTTGACTTACTTTATTCCCAAACAGGGAATAGATTTGTCGCAGTGAGGATTCTTACTTAACTCAAAACCTTAATATCTTTAATATTTTGTTGGTAACCCTTTAATTGATTCCTACTGACATTAAATTAGGGTTTTTGAGGGGTTGCCACATTATGGCAATAAAGCAATGAATTAAGGACATTCTATTCCAAAGAGCGACAAAGTGCAATGCAATACACTGACATCCTGCGGGACACAGGGAAAGTTGGTGGGAATACACGTGTTATCAGGTAAGATATTGGAATACAACATTTTGTTAGATTCGTCAGGATGATGGGATGCAGAGGTTGGATTAGACAGGCTTCATTGCAATACATCGTAAAGACTGTTTTCGCTATTAATCATCAAAACCAAAACATGTTGATAGTATTGATAATGTTTACTACCTTGAAAGATATTAATAAGGGCATACTCCTACTTCATCTTGTGTATACAGATCAGACAAAAGACAAGAATTGAACCTTTTACCTCTTATACTCTTTATGATGCTTGAATATTATCAATGGATGGAAATCTAAGCTACATACAGCAACTTCACAGAATGAATGCTGTAAACCTATGACACATACAGCCAAAGTCTGAGCTACTTACTGGAACTTCTTGAGTTCGGCTTCCTTCACTTCAAGGTCCTCTTTCACCTTGTTCCTGTCCTCCTCTGCCATATCCTTCTTCTCCTCCAACATCTTCCTATCTTCCTCAATCTTCGCCTGGATTTCGGCCATCTTTTCCTTGGAAATTTTCTTTTGACCACCTCCTGCTCCACCACCTAAAAGGCATCAATTTTGTTATAATGGAACATCCCCACAGTTGATCAAAGTGACCACTGACTAATACCGTATACCTGCAAACTTTTGCCTGGTGGAAGGACTTGGGGCGATATGGGTCATTTTTGGCCTCATATGAAGTAAAACTTTCAACTTGAATTTACTTACAAATTTCTGTTATAAACATCTATTGGTAAATTGGGGCTATCATTCTTGATGCAGATTTTTCCAATGCGCAATGCGTAGATGCCCTACCATAGCAACAAATGTGTTGCTATGCAGAAATAGCCAAAATATGGTGTTTTGGAACAGTTAGTCTGCAGAAATGAAAGCCTCTGCATGTGACAATCAAAAATTCCTTTCTATGTGTGACAATGTTTAAGCATGTCAAATATTTATTTGTTTGTTGCATGCAGAGGCTTTCAAATATTTAAGAGTGTTTAGTTAATTTCCTTCAAAATGGCCAATTTTCAACGAAATAGCGCACAACAGACAGTATTCACGCAATTTATTATGAAAATGTGGCTTTATGTCTCTCTTTGTAATGCCATATCTCCTAAACCAGTTGTCGGATGACTTTTAAATTTCATATTTGCGTACTTTATTTATTCAAGATGACGAATAAAACAAGTAATTCTTAATCCCTGATGAGGCCGGAAACGCCCCTGAACGCCGCACTCCCCTGTCCTTCACTGGTAAAATCTATATTCGTCCAGTATTAATTTTGTCCTTGAAAGTACTTGCTATATTGGGTATGCTGCTCACTGTCATGATAAATTTACCTTTTTTATGGAAGTCAAAAGATAAACTGCACTGAACATTTCTGGCTACAGTGTACACAGTACTATGATACAAGAAACAGGTCTAATGTCAGTTCTGTCTTGTAATTCAATTTTTACCTACAACTTATATGTTGTTGTTTTCTTTTCATTTTTGTAAAAAAAAATAAAAAATGTCTCATTACTCCACACAGCTTCAGGTAATAAATGAAATTTTTAAGTCATTCACTCCAGCAAATTCAACCACGGCTAAATCCAAATCACAATCTGAGAGAGTGTCGGGTATTTTTAAATCATAGCCTTTCTTCCCTGTTACAGTTTCATATGTTAACATTTATTAAGCAATCTTCCCCAAATTATCTAATCTCTGTAACAGCTCCAGGTATTCTCTAGATTAATCTTTATAAAGTTGAAACAGTTTCAAATCTATTAACTGAAGATTTAAAGATCAACATTTATATGAACATGAATGATAACAGTACAAGTAATTTCATATAAACATATGTCTTGAATTCAAATTTCAAAATAGCACTCCTTCCATGTATGTATTCCTCTTGCACATATATATACAGAAAATCTGCAATATAATTAATGCCCCTCATTTCATTTGCATACCTCCAACATAATCCAATATTTATTTCTTTATCTCCTTCAATATATCATCAAACTTCATTATAATGCCAAAAGTTTGTTTACAAGTTGTGGCAGTATAATGATAATACCCTACCTTTCTTTTTCTTCCCCTTCTTCCTTCTTGTCCTGCCTTCCCCGGGCTCCCCTTCTTCATCTGTTGATTCTTCCTCACTACCACTGCCCTCGTAATCCGAACCTAAAACAAGTGTAAGTTATAAAGGTTCATGCAAATATGAATAAATGTAAATTTCTTCTTTAGACTTTCTTAAAACCAAAAGGTCTATGGAATGTTTTCTAAACTATCAGCATTGACAGAAAATACAAACCCTCGGCCAGCTGTTTCCGGAGCTCTTCAATCTCCTTCTGGAACTGTCTCAGCAGGGCATCCTTGGGGTCCTCATTGATCTTAGCACTGTTCTTGATGTTCTTGGCACGGTTCGCGTAACGCAGAGTGCTGATGGACTCATCATAGTTGTAATCAGCAGGCCCTATATTAGCAACCTGGATAGTAAAGAGTAAAATAATGATTTTGCTTTCAAAGTAACAAAACGAAAGTGCCTAAAAAGATAGGTAGAATGTTTTTGGAAATATATTTTTTATTTGCTAATTAATCTCAATCTGCCTTTGAGTCTTTTGTTCATAAACAAATAATTACAACTGAAATCTATCCTTTGGTAGTTCTGTCCACAAGTTAATTTTTCCTGACATTCAAATTAGAGATTAACATTATTCTACAGCTGGTGAATACATTGTGTAGATAACACCACATACCATAGCAGTTTTGGAGTTGCCGCCCAGTGAATCTTGTAACAGACGAGTGAGTTTGGAGTTTCTGTATGGAATGTGAGTACTCTTTCCGTCCACCAAGGATGAGATGACGTTGCCGAGGGTTGACAGAGACAAGTTGATCTTAGTGGCTTCCTTCAGTCTCTGTCCTGTTGCTCCAGTCTTTGCCTGTCGCTCTGATCCCTGAATACAAATTACAAATCTAATTCAAATGCATTTACAAATCAATTGTTTTTGTTGTTGTTGTTGTTGGGGGGNGTTCGTTTATTTTTTAAATCAAATGTATATTTTGCTATATTAATAATTTAGATAATCAGATTTATGTTTAATAAATCATAGTATCATTATGAAGAAAAAAATTGCAAACAATTTGCAGTGTTGATGCCAAATATTACGAATTTTTGTTTATCTTGCGAAATATCTTCACTATACTTCAAATCCTGCCTGACAAAGATATTTTAATAATGACATTTTTTTTTTTTTTTTTAATTATCTTAATTTCTGCTTTAAATCCTTATTCATAGTATCCTGGAATGAGAAAATGACTTACAGCCAAATCCACAAGATGAAGTTTGCCAGCACGCACATGCTGTTTGCCGTCCGGTCCTTTCTCACTACATTCGATGGTCACGGTGAAGATGGCATGCGACCGGGAACTGTGTAGGTTCATGTTGGTGGCCCCAACTACCCCTGGAATGGTTATAAAGGCAAGTCTCATTATATTTTTAGCCAAGGCTTATTATATATTTTAACATTTTATGGTTTTCTTGTAGATATTGCAGTTTATATTTTTTGTTTCATGTCAAGAACTAATATGCAGAAAAAGTCAAATATCATTATTGAATACATTTTCGAACATTTCATGATTCCCAGCACATGACCAGTTAGAGTTTGCAGAGGCTGTTTACAAACCTGTTGATATTGGTGTATATATATATACACACTAAGATCTAATAAGTAGAAAGGTCAAATATCATGATTGAACACAGCGTTAGCTTCAAGGGTGATCAAAGCCTACAACACCTCGATCAGTAGCCTGATAGTCTACTGACAGAAACCAGTGTCAATATTCAGCCACGGTCACAAACTTACTGTTTTTGTTTCCAATGGTCATGATTCTGTCCATGTCGTCGGCATTGTTTACCACGAAGTTGGACAGATCTTTGACGTACACTCCCACATCTGGCCTCTCTTTCACCTACACAAAAACCAAAGGCTATTCAGCAGGAGGAAAGTAGACCTGCTTTTATCATAAAAACATAATTCATGCTAAGTTGGTGCACTATCAATAATAAACAAGACTAATTAATTTAGCCAATGTAAACCAAACAATTTTATAAATCAATAATTAACTTTAATGTTTTCCTGTGTCTAATATGACTGTGTCCTGGGTTAATATATATTTTTCTCAGGTTAACAAAACCAGTTACTGACCTAAACAAAAGTTCAAATTTGATGTTGCTATTACACATTATTTTCTGAAACCATGACACCATATCCCTACCTCTAGTTTTTGATGCTGGTCCTTTCCAAGCAAATCTCGTACTTCTTCATTGTAGATTTCCAAGTATGATACTCTCACCAAAAATCTGTAAAATAGCAAATCAATGTAATATTTCCGTACTGGCTTTTCACAACAATACGTCTTTAAAAGTACTTAACACTCAACACACCAACATACCATACCTTCATTGGCAGGCAATACAACAGAACCTAAGACTGAGCAAGATTATGAAGTAAGGTAAGTATTAGTATCCTTATAAAACTTGCTGAAAACGATTATGAAAAGTTCTTTTTACACAACCAATAAGAGTTTCTATGTGATGTTTCCATGACTAGTACGGTATGTTCACTGTCACCTTCATCAGACAAATGACCAGTGAAGCGTAGCTGAATCGAGTCATTTCGGTACATATATAACAACTATTGTACATAACCTTACAGCATAGCTGAATCAACATCGATTTTGTGGACAAATTGTATACATTTTACTCCTTTGTGTGCATACGCTTCACTGATCATTTTCTGATGAAGGTGAGTGTCCATACCGTACTAGTCATCGAATCTCATAGAAACTTTTATTGGTTGTGTAGAAAGAAGAAAATTTTTAGAAATGCTGAAAACGATATCAATTAACAGTGTAAACTTTCTCCTTTTTCTTTGAATTTAATCCATAATTACCTTGTGTCACCTTCTGCTTTGGCTATATGACCAAATATGTGGGCAAAGGAATTAGGTATGATTCCTCGGAGCTCCGGTACAGTCCGCACACCCTCCATGGTAAAGGTTTTCCCAGTTCCTGTTTGTCCGTATGCAAAAATTGTGCCTGAAAGCGAAATAACAATTATTTATAAAAAAAATAAAGATATTGATTTCACATCAAAATATATCTTCAGTCTTCCAATTAGTCACCAATTCAGTCTTGTCTTTCCCTACTGTTTGTAGTGAAGTATACTGGAAAAGATTATAGACCAAATAGTTTGTACTAAAGGGCTAATCCAGATATGAATTTATATATGGGTGGGAGTGAGAAGATACCTATAGTATATTATCAGAGTGGAGGGGTTTTAATCACTGTTACCATTTGTAAAGTAATGATTATTATACCTCTACTGAGGTTTCCCTATATAAAAACAATACGATAAAATCTGCTATTTCCCTTAAATCACTTCAATCTCTCCATCTAAGAGCTGCTCCCTCCCCAAATTAGGATTACTCCCTGCAAAAAAGGACTACTTCCTGCCAGAAAGAGGACTACCCCCTCATGAATATTTGTAGGCGGAGCTTAAAAGATTTCAACCAATGAAAACATTGGTAGGTGGGGCCTTATCCGTGACGCTCGCGACGTCACATTTTCAGAACCAAATGACAACAGTGAAAATAGCTACCGATGAAGGCCGTTTTGTTGTTGTAAAGATGAGTTACAGCAGATTTTGGCCGCTAAATGTAGCTTAAATACAAAAGCTGTTATAAAGACTGCAGCGAATTCACTTCAAACTTATTTGACAAAACGGAATGCCGGAAGCGTCGACGAGTAGGGTAGCGCAAGCTTTTTTAAAAAAAATGGATGGGACTAGATCTAGATATGGTAGGAAAACAAAGGTGACTATATATGAGATACAGTCTATAAAAAACGCTTCTTGAATGCTAAAACTGAAGACATCATCAACGACAATGCATACAGTACTTCCAATTGTATTTTTTTCTCTCTCAGTCTTTGAAATTGTAAAAGGAAATGAATAAATAAATTCATTTGTTAAAGTGCCTTTACTGGGTGAATAATTTGTTTCGTTATAATAAAACAGTTATAGAATGGGTAATTCGGGAAATAGCAAATTTATGGTCACCCTCGGGAAATAGTTTTTCACCTCGGGGGACCATAAATGTGCTATTTCCCTCATACCCATTCTATAACTGTATACTATTCGCTGATAAGTTTCCAAACTAGGTTTCTTTTCTGTTGTTCCATGTAATAATATTATAAAATCATTTAAGTCATCTGAAATAATTGACGTTAAATGTAAACCGGTATATATCTCACTAATTTTTTTACAGTAATTTTGATTTACAGTACTATTGTAGCCTTCAATGCAAGTCCACAGTCCACCATGGGTCTGACTGTAAAATGTAAATCCCACTAAAAGTAAGTGTTTTACAATAATTTTGATTTACAGTACTAGCTTAGCCTTCGAGTACACAGTCCATGATGTGTCTTGACTGTAAAATGTATGTCTCATAATCATTAAAAATAAGTATTTTACAGTATTTTTGATTCACAAGAGAACAGTTTACCATTGTAGCCTTCCAGTCCACAGTCCACAATGGGTCTGTCTGTAAAATGTTTATCTCATTAAAAAGAAGTGTTTTACAGTAATTTTGATTAAAAGAGAACAGTTTACCATTTTAGCCTTCGAGTAAACACTCCATGATGTGTCTTGGCTGTAAAATGTATGTCTAACTAAAACCAAGTGTTTTACAGCAATTTCGAATCACAAGACAGTAGCTAGTTTACCATTGTAGCCCTCCAGTACACAATGTGTCTTGGCTGTTAAATGTATATGTCATTCAAAATAAGTATTTTACAGTATTTTTGATTCCCAAAAGAACAGTTTACCATTGTAGCCCTCCAGTACACAGTCCACGATGGGCCTGGCTGTCTTGTTGTACACGTCCACTTGTTTACAGTTGGGGGCGAACACCGTGTCGAAGGTGAAGGTCTTTGGGGGCTCTCCTTGTGAGGCAGATGGGTTTTTTACCGTCACACTTCCCCTCACCTCATCAACCTAAACATGACACAGTCATTATTTACAAGGCATCATAAACCTATACATAAACCCTGCATCTTGTCAACAGCACCTACTGTATCATGTACTACAAGAAACTTCGTTCTATAACTATGAAATCTATTGTATCGGTATAGTTCTAAATTCACATGAAAATATTTGTGCTTTCTTCATGAGAATATAGATGTCGCTAGATTGATATAAAAATACAATGTAGTAGACATTGAACTTGACCTTGACTACAACATTCTTGATAACAAGTTTGTTCAAGCTATACTCCTACTATATACTATTGTATGGTGGATAACATTCAGATTACTTTAAAAATGAAGACCAATGCAAGGTAGCAGAGTACAGTAGAAATGGCTTGATCCTAAAAATAAAGGGCATGTCTCAGATAAACACGGATAGCCCATTTATCCTGCACAACACACCTACATATATATATATATTTATAAACTACATTTTGAAAACATGTTTTTTAAAAGATTTCCCTCAGATTTGGGACTTGTGAAAACCATGGTTAAAAAATGCCAAAAAACATGATTTTTAACCCAAAATTTTACCCACGCAAGTAGTACTTTTTTTCTTAAAACCTGTCTGAAAATGAATATCACCTACTCGGTAACAGAAATGCTCACGTTTTAGCATAGGTCGTTCAACTGGATTTTTCACAATATTTACACATGTGCTGAGTACAAAAATAGACTACATGAAAAGCTAGCTTTTGTTGTGTCGACACAGATTTGTTCTTTTTAAATGTCCACTTTATCATGTATAAGCCAATTGTAGTGCTGATTTTTTTTAAAAACTTTGATACATGTAATATTACATGGGTTATTCATTGTACAAAAATATCACCCATGGCCACCGTACGCTACTGTACACTGCAACCCACGGTTTAAAACTTCCAGAGATACCAATGTGGAAGATCTCCATCCATTGGGTTTTTCAATGTGGAGATTAAGTATGAAGATATTGTACCAACTTATCATTTTAAAACATTTCATCGTCTCTAAATTCTTATGTCATATAACTCTGGCTGGAGAATGTTTCCTGGAAATGACCGTTTTTGTACGAGGTGAACTTCTAATTCCCTTCTTCAGGTCATGTAAACAACAAAATTACATATTCAGTCCTTGAAATTAAACAAAGAAGGCTATACCTCTCAGATCTTTACCAAGTAATAACAGTGTCCATCACTGAAATATGTATACAATTACCTTGACACACATTACACATCCTTGCTTTTCTTCTGTTGAATTCAGCGGCCTACAGCGGACACACACCTGCACATTGTTTGTCTCTGCAGCACTTTTCTTCTCCTACCACAGAAAACAAGGGGTATAACTTTGTGAACAGATCTAAAGCACGGTGCAATCAGCCTTAAACCCTGATATAGTAAGTTAATAGACCATTCGTGTATCTGTGACTCAAAAGTTGTTACACAAATCAGATTAATAGAATTTACTATTCCTGTGTGATATATATATAGACAGAAAAATCTCAAAGGCGAGGTTTTTGAAGTTAAGCATGAGGCTTGTAATGGCGGATTATCTCTCTCCCATGATTTCCAATTGTAAAAATGTGCTGTAAAATAATGGTAAACCCAATGCACTAGTGCAAGCCATTGTTAGGACAGGAATTAATGCAGGAATAAAAATTTAGTATCATAATTGTCTTGAAATAGGGGAAGATATAAGCTATAGGTGCATAATTCGTCGGCAGGAAGGGGGTTCGCAGGCCGGAGCCATGGAGATATCTAGTAAGACATGGGGGCATGAATGACAAGCGGGGTAAAATATTTTGCTCAAAAATACAACACAGTGCCATGCCTCGACCCCACAACCCTTTTGTCACGAGCCCGGCGTCCTATCACTAGACTATACTGTGCCTCCAAAATAATGATCAAATCAAGACATTTTATTTTTCTCATTATTTAATGCTTTTAATGTAAGTACTGGAAAACATTTACGATCAGCTAACACTCAGTTTTGCAAATTTTATGCTCAAACAACTGGTATGCGTGGATTAAAATGGCTTGATTTCACCAGATTTGCAAAAACAAACAAGGTAAATTATTAAAATTGTTAATTTCTAATGTGTTCAAATAAATTTTCTTGAGATAGTTTAGAACATACTTTACTTCTTTATTTACAGAAAAAAATAATAAGTAATTAACAATTAATCTAGGTTAGGTTCCGTTTACTCCAACAAAGTTCACATTTCATTGTTTTAAAACATACATGTATAGATCGTGTTACAAATCTAGACCAAAGAGGAAACTTAATTACCATTTTTTTGCTATCTTAACATTTTTTGTTTTAAGTAATGTCTAAATTTAACTTCATTATTCAAAATTGTGTTTATGCTTACAACTAACATGAAACACAGCTACTACATGTAATCACTATTTATAGATGAAATGTGCTGGAGTGGTTCCAAAGTTCCTCTACTTTATTAGTTTTAATATATTAAAAGATATACTAATATCACTTTTTTTCTTAAGTTTGATAAAATAAATGCATTATGCTTTATAGGAATTTATTCATTATTTCAATTATCATTGTAAACATCATATGCAAATCTTTTTAATAAAAAAATAATGTAAAACCTTATTGTCTTATATGATTTTACTTTTTTTACTGACATTGCACTCCGATTCTGTAAACTATATACTGTACTGCAGTATAGCTGATTTAACAGAAAAAAATGCTCAAAAGTTCTGGTTATTAGGTTATACTGTACCTTATTAACACATATTTCATTTAAATGTGTCAGAAAAAGTGGTTCTGGCATTATAACTGTCAAATATATTGCATGGTCATGATCAAGAACGTCTAATGCCAGCAGTACTGTACAGTCACACTAAAATACGCCATAGATACGCCATAGGAGTTTTTGTACGCCATAGCAAAATTTTAGTGTACTGTATTTTAATGGTAATGAGATTTCTAATTTAAGATGCATCCAGAATTTTCAGTAGCATCCCATCTACAATTGGTCATGTGATTTATTATGAAATGTGTTGATGGAACCAATGATATTAACCAAACCAAAAATCGTATATACTTACAGGCATTTTGCCGATTTCTTTATGAAACACTACCTATGATCTTGTGCGATGTCTTGTCGGCTGTCATTCCAAAATATTTGAGAAATACGGACTTTCTGAAATACAATTATCTCATTGGTCAAAATTATTTTGGGGATTCGGCTTCTCTCGGACTTTTATATTTGACTTCGAAAGATTCCAATCCTTCCGAAAATAAAAAATGGCAGCGCCCAGGTTCTAAGAAGGTAAATACAACGCCACAATCAATCTATTTAACTAGTTAGCTGTATCTGCAGTTGTCACGCTGTGCATAGGTTACTGTATACTCTTATTTCGACCCCAACTGACGTAACTTAAAATTAAAATGCTATAGACATATGACCTCTATTCATAATAAGTTGAGTTGGAGTCGTCTAGGTTTGCGGTTAGGCAACAAGTTGAAGTACAGAGATTCTTTCCTGCCAATGCATATCATTTACATATACATGTTTATCACATTCAGTGCGTAGATTGAACCTTACCTGTAAATGTCTGTTTGGTAGGACAGGGACTGGGCAAACGATGCTTATAATATCGAATAGCTTGTGTCATGTGTCCTGTACGTATACAGACCAAGGTCAGTTTCAAAATTCACACCAGAATTAAAATCTTTGACTCGACAAAGGGACGTTGTGAGTCTTTCTTAGAGATAGGTAAACGTGACATCAGCCAATTTAAGATGAGTCAAATAGACAGATTAGCTAAGTCAGTGGATGAGCACTATATTCAAGCTTATGTAACATGGCCAGGATTCGAACCTGCGTCCTCAAACTCTAAAGAGAAGCCCTGCCAATTTAGCTACCTGTTCGCAGGCAATCCATCCAATCCATTTCTGCTACAGTCCTCCCTACCTTATTCTAAGTCTTCGCCGCAAAGACATCACTATTTACATCGCAGGCTAGGGCATCGGACCCCTTGTCAAGCATTCACCCAGTACTTGAAAGAAGAGTTTGTCACAGGCACCACTGTAACAGGAAATTAAAACCCATGACCCTCTGAACTTTAGACGGACGATTGTCTTAGTCAAGATTCACTACACTTAAATGAATTAAATTATACATAGATGGGGAAGCGTATGGTACCCTCGAGCTCATAGCAAATAAAGCAGACATTTGACTTTTGATAGTGTGGGTTTGTTACCGCTATTTCTCAAGAAGTACCAGAGGGATCTTTCTCAAATTTTATATGTAGGTTCCCCTTGGTCCTAAGCTGTGCAGGGCATTTTTTTGAGACTGATCGGATAAACAACATGGCCGACAGGCAGCCATCTTTGATTTTGATATTGAAAGTTTGTTATCGCTATTTCTCAAGAAGTACTAGAGGGATCTTTCTCAAATTTTATATGTAGATTCCCCTTGATCCCTAGTTGTGTATGTTATATTTTGAGACTGATCATAAAAGCAAAATGGATTAAAAGAAGAACTAAACAGATCTTTCTCATATTGCAATGATCGATTCTATTTCTTTCACATTAAGTACTGTACTAGTAAATATGTGAAATGACAAACCCACTTTGAAGGTTGGCTTTCATACACATCGGTATTAAGTTTAGATCAAAAGTTACCTCAAAGTGCATTTACTGTTAACATGACTCGATCAAACAGATTAGAGGAAAGAAGAGAAAAGATCACACTGACAAAGAACTAATGAAGATGGTACAAAGGTGGGCGCCAAGATCCCTCTGGGATCTCTTGTTTAGTATGCCATTTCTTTTTTAGTATGCCATCATCTGTCATACATTAGGAAGTGACAGTAAAAAACAGGTTACACTGGAGACAATTCAGTTAAAATTTGGAGAAGCTAAATAAGATCTTAAGAATTGTATTCATCATACACTTTAGCTGATGTTATATGGGTTTTTTTTTTTTCTTCAGCTGTTTATGCACAAAACTAATTCAGCAGAATTTCCTGCCAGGAGCCCCTTGATCTGTTTAACCCTGATATTCATGAGCTATGTGGCCATTCGATGACGAGGCGTCAAAACCAAAGAAGTCATGTGAAACACAGCGACAGCAGCTACAAGACTGCCTACTGATGAGTCCATGTGTGAATAGGGTAAGAACTATAACATCGTCAAACTCTCCTGATCCAAAGATAAACAATAACGTCAAACTCTACTTATCCAAAGATAAAACGATAGCATCAAACTCTCCTGATCCAAATATAAACGATAGCATCAAACTCCCCTGATCCAAAGATAAAATGATAGCATCAACCTCTCCTGATCCAAAGATAAACGATAGCATCAAACTCTCCTGATCCAAAGATAAATGATAGCATCAAACTCTCCTGATCCAAAGATAAACGATATCATCAAACTCTCCTGATCCAAAGATAAACGATAGCATCAAACTCTCCTGATCCAAAGATAAAACAATAGCATCAAACTCTCCTGATCCAAAGATAAACGGTAGTATCAAACTCTCCTGATCCAAAGATAAACAATAGCATCAAACTCTCCTGATCCAAAGATAAACAATAGCATCAAACTCTCCTGATCCAAAGATTAATGATAGCATCAACCACTCCTTATCCAAAGATAAAACGATAGCATCAAACCCTCCTGATCCAAAGATAAATGATAGTATCAAACTCTCCTGATCCAAAGATAAACGGTAGTATCAAACTCTCCTGATCCAAAGATAAACGATAGCATGAAACTCTCCTGATCCAAAGATAAAATGATAGCATGAAACTCTCCTGATCCAAAGATAAACGATAGCATCAACCAATTCTTATCCAAAGATAAAACGATAGCATCAAACTCTCCTTATCCAAAGATAAATGTTAGCTTCAAACTCTCCTCATCCAAAGTTAAAACAATAACATCAAACTTTCCTTATCTAAAGATAAAACAATAACATCAAACTTTCCTTATTTAAAGATAAAACGATAATGTCAAACTTTCCTTATCAAAAGATAAAATGATAGCATCAAACTCTCCTCATCCAAAGATAAACAATAGCATCAAACTCTCCTGATCCAAAGATAAACGATAGCATCAAACTCTCCTGATCCAAAGATAAAATGATAGCATCAAACTCTCCTGATCCAAAGATAAAATGATAGCATCAAACTCTCCTGATCCAAAGATAAAATGATAGCATCAAACTCTCCTGATCCAAAGATAAAATGATAGCATCAAACTCTCCTGATCCAAAGATAAAATGATAGCATCAAACTCTCCTGATCCAAAGATAAAATGATAGCATCAAACTCTCCTGATCCAAAGATAAAATGATAGCATCAAACTCTCCTGATCCAAAGATAAAATGATAGCATCAAACTCTCCTGATCCAAAGATAAAATGATAGCATCAAACTCTCCTGATCCAAAGATAAAATGATAGCATCAAACTCTCCTGATCCAAAGATAAAATGATAGCATCAAACTCTCCTGATCCAAAGATAAAATGATAGCATCAAACTCTCCTGATCCAAAGATAAAATGATAGCATCAAACTCTCCTGATCCAAAGATAAAATGATAGCATCAAACTCTCCTGATCCAAAGATAAAATGATAGCATCAAACTCTCCTGATCCAAAGATAAAATGATAGCATCAAACTCTCCTGATCCAAAGATAAAATGATAGCATCAAACTCTCCTGATCCAAAGATAAAATGATAGCATCAAACTCTCCTGATCCAAAGATAAAATGATAGCATCAAACTCTCCTGATCCAAAGATAAAATGATAGCATCAAACTCTCCTGATCCAAAGATAAAATGATAGCATCAAACTCTCCTGATCCAAAGATAAAATGATAGCATCAAACTCTCCTGATCCAAAGATAAAATGATAGCATCAAACTCTCCTGATCCAAAGATAAAACAATAACATCAAACTCTCCTGATCCAAAGATAAAATGATAGCATCAAACTCTCCTGATCCAAATATAAAATGATAGCATCAAACTCTCCTGATCCAAAGATAAAATGATAGCATCAAACTCTCCTGATCCAAAGATAAACGATAGCATAAAATCTCCAGATCCAAAGATAAACAATAGCATCAAACTCTCCTGATCCAAAGATAAAATGATAGCATCAAACTCTCCTGATCCAAAGATAAAACGATAGCATCAAACTCTCCTGATCCAAAGATAAAACGATAGCATCAAACTCTCCTGATCCAAAGATAAAACGATAGCATCAAACTCTCCTGATCCAAAGATAAAACGATAGCATCAAACTCTCCTGATCCAAAGATAAAACGATAGCATCAAACTCTCCTGATCCAAAGATAAAACGATAGCATCAAACTCTCCTGATCCAAAGATAAAACGATAGCATCAAACTCTCCTGATCCAAAGATAAAACGATAGCATCAAACTCTCCTGATCCAAAGATAAAACGATAGCATCAAACTCTCCTGATCCAAAGATAAAACGATAGCATCAAACTCTCCTGATCCAAAGATAAAACGATAGCATCAAACTCTCCTGATCCAAAGATAAAACGATAGCATCAAACTCTCCTGATCCAAAGATAAAACGATAGCATCAAACTCTCCTGATCCAAAGATAAAACGATAGCATCAAACTCTCCTGATCCAAAGATAAAACGATAGCATCAAACTCTCCTGATCCAAAGATAAAACGATAGCATCAAACTCTCCTGATCCAAAGATAAAACGATAGCATCAAACTCTCCTGATCCAAAGATAAAACGATAGCATCAAACTCTCCTGATCCAAAGATAAAACGATAGCATCAAACTCTCCTGATCCAAAGATAAAACGATAGCATCAAACTCTCCTGATCCAAAGATAAAACGATAGCATCAAACTCTCCTGATCCAAAGATAAAACGATAGCATCAAACTCTCCTGATCCAAAGATAAAACGATAGCATCAAACTCTCCTGATCCAAAGATAAAACGATAGCATCAAACTCTCCTGATCCAAAGATAAAACGATAGCATCAAACTCTCCTGATCCAAAGATAAAACGATAGCATCAAACTCTCCTGATCCAAAGATAAAACGATAGCATCAAACTCTCCTGATCCAAAGATAAAACGATAGCATCAAACTCTCCTGATCCAAAGATAAAACGATAGCATCAAACTCTCCTGATCCAAAGATAAAACGATAGCATCAAACTCTCCTGATCCAAAGATAAAACGATAGCATCAAACTCTCCTGATCCAAAGATAAAACGATAGCATCAAACTCTCCTGATCCAAAGATAAAACGATAGCATCAAACTCTCCTGATCCAAAGATAAAACGATAGCATCAAACTCTCCTGATCCAAAGATAAAACGATAGCATCAAACTCTCCTGATCCAAAGATAAAACGATAGCATCAAACTCTCCTGATCCAAAGATAAAACGATAGCATCAAACTCTCCTGATCCAAAGATAAAATGATAGCATCAAACTCTCCTGATCCAAAGATAAAACGATAGCATCAAACTCTCCTGATCCAAAGATAAACGATAGCATCAAACTCTCCTGATCCAAAGATAAACGATAGCATCAAACTCTCCTGATCCAAAGATAAACGATAGCATCAAACTCTCCTGATCCAAAGATAAACGATAACATCAAACTCTCCTGATCCAAAGATAAACGATAGCATCAAACTCTCCTGATCCAAAGAAAAACGATAGCATCAAACTCTCCTGATCCAAAGATAAACGATAGCATCAAACTCTCCTGATCCAAAGATAAACGATAGCATCAAACTCTCCTGATCCAAAGATAAACGATAGCATCAAACTCTCCTGATCCAAAGATAAACGATAGCATCAAACTCTCCTGATCCAAAGATAAACGATAGCATCAAACTCTCCTGATCCAAAGATAAACGATAGCATCAAACTCTCCTGATCCAAAGATAAACGATAGCATCAAACTCTCCTGATCCAAAGATAAACGATAGCATCAAACTCTCCTGATCCAAAGATAAACGATAGCATCAAACTCTCCTGATCCAAAGATAAACGATAGCATCAAACTCTCCTGATCCAAAGATAAACGATAGCATCAAACTCTCCTGATCCAAAGATAAACGATAGCATCAAACTCTCCTGATCCAAAGATAAACGATAGCATCAAACTCTCCTGATCCAAAGATAAACGATAGCATCAAACTCTCCTGATCCAAAGATAAACGATAGCATCAAACTCTCCTGATCCAAAGATAAACGATAGCATCAAACTCTCCTGATCCAAAGATAAACGATAGCATCAAACTCCTCTTATCCAAAGATAAAACGATAGCATCAAACTCTCCTGATCCAAAGATACATCACAACATCAGCTCCCAATGATTATAAGAATATTTCATGCTCAAGGGTACAGGATAGAGTAATTCCATCTTAGGGGCTTTCATTTAAACCAGAGGCTTACAAATAAATTTGCACAAATTTGAAGATCCAGAGGATGGAATTTCCTATCCTACACCCTTGGGTATGGAAGAGTATTTTGCTTTCTTACCAATCACCAGAATAGGCTCTGAAACCACAAAAAGGTATCTCAATCAATTTTCCAATCACGCTTTCAGAATTAATGTTTCCGATTTTGTAACGTCATGGTGATGTCACATAGGTCAAACGAGGTGTAGGAAAGAAATTTCCTTTTCTTTCCTGCATCGTATTTTTACCCCAGACTGTTCTATGATATACATATTTATCACAAAACTGACTCATTTTATTATGTCATACAGCCATGTCATAAATATGGTATTAAACAGGTATAATAGAACCTAAAGGTGTTCAGGGATTGGTCAAAACCATGGAAACATATTCCTACACCACTACAGGTACAACTACTTTGCACTGCCCAGAACAATAATACTGTGATTGCTGGAGTACTTTGGTTTTGACCTAAGTAAGCTGTTTACACTTAATTTTGTTTACAGTTTTTTTCAATAACCTAACATATACTTAGAATCTTGTATTCATGTCCATATCATATTGAATTTATTAAACTTTTTTAAGTATTTGATATGATACTTGCCTAAAGTCATGTTATTAATGGGGCCGCGGTGGCGAAGTGGTTAAGGCGTCTGACATTCTGCTACCACTAGCCCTCCACCACTGGGTCGCAGGGTTCGAAACCTACGTGGGGCAGTCGCCAGGTACTGGTCTTAGGTCGGTGGATTTTCTCCAGGAACTCCGGCTTTCCTCCTCCACCAAAACCTGACACGTCCTTAAATGACCGTAGCTGTTAATAGGACGTAAAACACAAACAAACCAAATCATTTGATTAAGATCCTCTATTTATTAGGTCACCTGAGACAAAGTCTCAAGTGACCTATTGCGATCGCCTTTTGTCCGACGTTGTCCGTCGTGCGTCCGTAAACAATTTACATTTTCGACTTCTTCTCCAAAACCCCTGAACCAATTTCAATGAAATTTTGCAGAAACCTTCCATGGCCGAAGGTAAAAAAAACAGTGGCCAGTTTGGTCACCAGGGGCCTGAGGGGCGGGGCCAAAAAGGGTCAAATTGACTAAAATTTTAAAAATCATCTACTCAAGACCCAGATATGGTAGAATCAAATACTTTTCTTAGATGGAAGGGTCTTAAGGTGCTTTACCAAATTTGTGAATTTCTTGACCCTGGGGTCTCACGTTTTCCCCTGGGGAGGGGGTAAACTTTACTTTAGTTTATATAGGCAAATCACATTTTGGACCAACATTTGTTTAATTTCCATTGGAAGTAATTCAATTTGGGTTAGTATTATCAGTATCGGATAGCAGTTTGATGGTATGCACATATCAGCTCTGACTGATCCCCCGGGGCTGATGGGTGGGGCCAAAAAGGGTTGAATTGACTGAAATTTCAAAAATCTTCTTCTCAAGAACCAGATATGGTAGAATCAAATACTCTTCATAGATGGAAGGGTCTTAAGGTGCTTTACC